ACCCAAATCAGCAGCAAATGCAGATGGGTGTAGCACAGATGCGCCCTCAGCTACCGATGAATGCCACTTTGGCAAGTCTACCGCCTCAAGATAGGACGAAAATTATGCAATTAGCTCTTGCGAAATTGAACCAAACTTCGGAACAACAGCGGAATGCGCTGCGTAATATAGTACAACAAAGATTCACCCCCCAGCAGATGGCGCAGTTGCAGGCAGAGAACCAGGATCCACTTCTATTCTATTTACAGGTCCAGATGTTACAGGCGTTTAAGGGACAGGGAGGTGGTAATGGCGGTAATCAAGCCGCATTGCAGATGCAGGCCCAGCAGCGACAGATGAACCAGTCTGGGCAACAGTTAGTCGGGGTTCCCAATAGCGAATTTGGTCCATTTTCGAACGTTGAGAGCATCATGAACCAGCAGAAGGCAGGACTACTCGCCCAGGAAGCAGGGCAGATGGTGGTGCCAGCGAGTAATGGACCTGGGCGAAATGCCACACCTCAACCTATGGGCGGAATGCAAGGCCCTAATCCTGGTAACCATCCTGGACCTAACCAGTCCGGTATCCCTAATCAAATGCCACAACAGTTCAACCTGCCACAAGCCCAACAGTTAAAGATGGACCAAAGGGCAGCCCAGTCGCAGGCACAGATTAGAGCGCAGGCCCAGGCTAAACAAATGCAGGGCCAGCCTGGTGGATTAAACGGCGGTGCCATCTCTCAGAGTCCTGGCATGAACACTCTGAACACACCAGTTCGCCGGACTCCAGTCATGGGCCAACCGGAAGGGCAGCAGCAGATGGTTCAACCCAACGGGCCTTTCGGACAAGCGCTAGACCCGCGTTTCAACCAGGGCAATCAGCGGCCGCAGATGGGTGGAAACCCAATGAATAATCAACATATTCTCAACAGCGTCCTTGCCCAGATGGCACCCGACCAGCGCAATACGTTTATGAGTCTGCCACCGGAGAAGAGGAATGAGATGTTGATGAAATGGTCTGCTAATTCGGCTGCGAGGGCGGGGATGGGTCAGGCACCTGGACGCAGTCAACCTCAGCCAGGCCAGTTCGGACAGGGTAATCCTATGGCTCAATTTGGCCCAGGAAATAATATGGGCCAAACACCCAATCCTGGCATGCAGGTGAATGCTCAGAACCAAATGATGCTTCAGCAGCAGATGAACAGGATGAGAAGCATGCAGCCCCAAAGTCGGCCTCAAATGCCGCAGGACGTTAATAATTATATGGATGGCATGGATGTACCAGGAAGAATATTGGACCAGCTGAGAACAAGCCACCCGGTGCCACAAGAGATCAAGAAATGGACTCACCTCAAACAGTGGCTCGCCCAGAAAAATGCCAGTCCTCATGTCATGCAACAGCTACTGGGTCTTCAGACTGCACAGTTCCAAAGCATGATGAAGCAAAGGGCGGCGAATACCCAGATGGCCCAGCCTAATATGCCGCAGCAGGGACCGCAAATCCCAAATGCGCAAATGCCTATGCAACCAGGTGCTAACATGGGTCCCTTTGCGGGTATTACCATCAGTCCCGCCGAATTGCAACAGGCTAAAAATCATGAGAGGTTCAAGGGTTGGCCAGATGAGAAGATCAGGGCGGCTCTCATGCAAATGAAGCTTACTCAAATAAGAGCTAAAGCAAATGGGCAGGCACCCAATGCCCAAATGCAGACACCGCAGACCTCTCAACCAGCCAACAACAACCTTGCCATATCAGCCCCGCCGCCGAATCCTGCAAACACCCTCCAGCAAAGACCGCAAAATATGGGACCTGATTCTAATGCTGTAGGCCCTGCGGCGCCCGCAAGGAATAGGCAACTTCAAAACAATCGTCCGCCGCCTTCGACCTCGACCGCCCCTCAGAAGAATAGTCTGAAGCGTGCGAGTACGGATGATGTAGTCGAAGTGCCGAACCCGTCGGGCACTCCAGTCCAGCGTCCAGCGTCCCAACAGGCTCAGGCCACCGGGCCTTTACCACAATTCCATCTTCCACCAGCTCAGCTTGCTGCTCTTCCGCCTGAGCAAAGGAACAAGTACGAGGCTATGATGAAGTCCCGACAGGCAGCGGCTGGAGGTGTTGGTGCACAGCAGCCGCAGCAGCCGCAAATGTCTGAGGCAATGCAGCATCTAAAATCTATTGGCCAAGAGGAGCACATAAATGCGGCCAGAGAGCCGTACCAGGAAATCCCGATGAACCCAGAACAATATCAAGACATGGCTCAAAAGATCCAGTCTATGGTCAGCGAAATGGGCAAGGTCAGCAAAATATTAGGACGGTGGTACACTCTAACACGAGATGATAGCCGCGCTAGAATGTTCTTTAAAATGGTGAGTTTGAGCAATGAAACGTTTCATAAAGTTCGATAACTAATATTATTTTAGCGACTCCGCCTGGGTAAACAATTCGCAGATGGCGAGAAGATGACAACTCTCAAGAAAGCATTTTCCCTGAAACCGAATGAGCTAGATAGTGTAAGAGCGATGCTGGAGGGCATGGCTAGGGACGTGGCCACCCAGTATCCGCAAGTTATGAAGAGAAATGCTACCCAACAGCAACATGTCTCAGAATCAGGACCTCAGCAGGGGGGTAGCGAAAACACCGCGACACCACCGATGGGAGCGCCGACGCCACTAAACGCTGCCAACCTCGAGAAGCAAAATGCGTTGAACAAAATACACCAAAGAACCGCTAGCAAGAGTGGGCAACCACCGGCTGCGCCAACTACCTCCCAACCCCCCTTCCCCTTTGGCGCCCAGTCACCCAACGGTCAGCCTACATATATTGGGAAACCTGCTGTTACCCAAGCTGACCTCCAACTACCTGCTCGCAAAAGACCCAAACCCAATGGACAGCCAGGTCTTGGTTCGGGCGGCGTGAGCGCGAGTTCATCTCCCCAAGTTCAAAAGGCATCGTCCCCAGAGTTAGTCAAGCGACAGACGCCGGCAGAACACACAACACCTAAATTGGCATACCAGTGTCCCGAGCCAAGCTGTGAGGCACACAGTACCGGTTTTGCTACTGAAGAGGCGCGACGAAGCCATATCGAGGAGGAGCACGTGAAGCCCTCGCAGAACCCGTTCAAGTTCGTGACGGAGAGCCTTGCTACTAGGCTCGGATTAGATCCGGATGGCCACCCGAAGGCGCCACCGAACGCCTCGACAACGGCCCCTCCGATGACACTCGATCCCTCTAAGCAGGGTCAAACACCGGCGAGCCGAGCCGATGCGACGCCGATGTCCCGCGAACCCTCGATGAAGAGGCAAGGTAGCGCGGCGGGCACCAAGCCTACAGATCTAGTTAAGACGATGGCTGGAAAGACTAGCACACCGAAGCCCGATGTCGGAACTCAGAGTGGAGATGGTACTATAGCGCCTACAAAGACATCTAGCGTAGATAGAGGCTGGCAGATGACAACTATAGACCCACAAGATCTACTCCAGAACCTAGGGGGTATCGAAAGTGGCGGCGGAGGTGCTATTTTCGACATGAACGTGTACCGGGCAATAACGCCAAACGACACACCAGAGTCAAGCAAGGATAGCGCAGGTTCGGAACCTAATAGCGACGTTTCAGAAGGCGTGTCCCTTAATCTGCAGCTGAACATGGGACCCGACCCAAACATGGGGTTCGACAAGTGGCAGCCATTCGGACTCGGGCATAATGACTTGGACTCTGCCGACATGAACATGAATGGGATGGACCTGGGTATTACGGATGAAAATACGATGCCTCTGTTCTCGTGGGATGACGTGAACCCCGAATTTACGAAGGAGTTCACATTAGATACGAGTTTCTACTCTCTTGAGACGACGTGAAGGAGTAGTGGACTAGAGTTCCTTAATATTTCTCGACTTTTTTAACCCTCACAATGAATAATGAGGCATTGGCAAGGACAGGCAAGTCTATACGAGTTCGGCCAGGTAAGGAAGGGCTTGGCCGGGGCGTTCGGGGGTTTTTATTGTATGTTCCCGGTTTATTTCTGGTATATCTGCGGAGTCGGGGTCCAAGGAGGCCCAACGGGATATGACAGGGGAAAAGTCTCTTTGACAGGTTGGCGAGTGGAATTAGTTCGAGCACTTGATTGTTCTTAAGAATAGCGGCTACTATATAGAGCTGGACAGCGTCACGATACCCAAATGAAAAGACCGGTGAACAATTGTAATGTTATTATTTTGAAGTAGTTTGAAGTAGATTCAAAAGCGTATTTGCTAGTATGAAAGGGGGGGGTTTTTTTCTCACACGGTGATATGATGTAGCATCACTTTAGTATGCGGTTAAAGTATTTAGGGGATGTGCGGGATGTTGTAGGAATGGTGGGGTAAATGTACCTAGAGAGATGCAGATATGGTACCTGATAGGTATCAATGATGGTACCTGACGGGTAGCAAGGATCCCCTGATGGCTTAGAGTTGCATCAACCTTAAATTATGCACAGCGATCGTCCAGGCCAAAAAGGGTAATAAGTCAATAAATTGGTAGGCAATTATGGTGCAAATATGATGCACAAAGGATACATAAGAGAGCATAATTTACTGCGACGCGGGTCGAAGCGCGCGCGCGAATCTACGAGATACGAGACTCTTATTACGTTTATATCAACTAGATCCCAAGGGTCAAAATTATTAGATTTAATAATTCGTGCCAACTTCGTGACAACTTCGCGTCTGTAGTTGACCTTTTATTAGCATTTCCAATCTAGCAAAGATTCAACTTTTTTTTTTTTTTTTTAGTTAATAACCTATATTTAACGATATCTACTATCACACACTCTTACTATTACGAATTACAGAATACCGGCATCCCACCATCGCAACTTCAAATACTTATTGTTTAAATCTATACACCAGATGGACTCCTCGCCGAGCAAGAGACGCGTCTTGGGTTCTATCGATGCTAATGCTAGAAGTCCAGTTTCTGCTTCGAAGCTCCAAGAATCTAAATTACAGGCACTGTCACCCACCCTGAGCATAATGAACAACGCCATGAAGAGGCCTCTCGAACAAGAAGTCGTGAGCCAACATCCACAACATCCACAACATCCACCTACACCACCAACCAAGAAGCAACGCCTCTCTATTGGAGAAGAGGAAATTGAACGTATTATAGCTATAGATGAAGAACATGGTCCTGAAAGGGTATGCATGTGGTGTATGATCCTACATTGAATGACATGGCTAATCTGGTGATGGATTAGGACACTCCTCAAGAAGAAGCTGAACGTCAGCAATATAAATCGCTAGAAGAATATTCCTTCTTAGACAACTCTGCCATCGATATAACCCTGGAAACCACTGTGATAGATCCATATTTAGAAGTTGTTGCGCCAGCTCCACCAACCCCGCCGGCGCCGGCTCGAAGACGATCAACTATGACTCGAGAGGAAGCTCGACAGGTAAGTTCCAAATTGGAAATGGAGAATATCAGGGAAGAGGAAGAACAAAGAGCAGTTAACTAACACTATATACAGAAAGCAGAGATGTTGCGACTAAGACTCGGTTTGGCTAGTTACAAAGTTCGCACTGGACAGACGGACGTGTCTCTAGAACAGCTTGAAGCCCAGACGTTATTGAAATCTCGACGGCCCCAGGAGCCTTCTTTACCCCCGCTGTCACAAATTACACACACAGGAGAGGAACATGACAGAGACGGAGAAGACCACGGGGATAAAGTACCATCCTCAGGGCGAAAGGCGTTGCCGACTGCGTGGCCTCTTAGTCGGGGGAGTAGTTTTGATAAGGGCCCTCTAGGAACAGAGATGGGACAATTACCCGGATTGACGATACCGTGGCCGGATTCACGAAGAGCATCGCAATGAAGGTTGGGTAGAGAGGTTTTATGGGTTTTAGAAGGTTTAAGGGGGTTGTGCTGGCGACGGCAATTCCCAAGACGGGAGTCAAGGCGGGTTAGGGGGGTTTTAAAGGGGTATTTTACGCGTGTGCGTTTAAGAGGTATCATGAAATAGACTCTTAATGATTCTCTACATTTAAATATATCTTAGATGTTAGCTAATCAAAAAGCGTCAGTGATTTAACTATCAAACACGATCCACGATACGGAATATCTTTTGTGAAGAGTCATATTGACGACTTTATATTGGGGAAAATACTAAAAAGACTAAAGTAAGAGCAAGGCTAATTATTAATTTAACTGGCAGCAACCGGCAGCAACCGGCAGCAACCGGCAGTGGTACCTTGTGAGGCTCTCGTGAGTACCTTCCTGATATTAGAGTTAGCTACATGTATCTCTTACTTCCTAAGGTACCTATCTATATCATTCTCGACTCGGGGAAGGGACCAACGACGTCAAAATAGAAGATATTAGTGTCATTCATATCGCTTACCTCCTAATAATTACTCTCATCCCGTTTCACACTCACCTTCTTCTTTCCCTTTCTCTTTACTTTGCAACTCCACTCTTAAATCTTAAATCTTAACTCTTGACTCATTTACTGCTTCACTCCTTCACCCTTTCACCCTTTCACTCTTTCACCAAGCTGCTAAAACCACAACCATTAGCCACTCCACCATGTCACCACCTCCACTACCTCCACTACCTCCACCACCTCCCCAAACCATGCAAATGCAACTACCCCTACGCCTCAAGCCTAGACTTGGTCACAAACCCCCTATCAAGTCAAAACCCAAACAGCTCACCATGTGCTCAACAGTCCACTTCACCTACCGCTGCGGCTGCACCCACACCACCACCTTTGAGTGCCCGGATACCGCATCCACCTTCTCCAGCCTAGCCGCCACTGACTCCCACTCTCGCTCTCGTCGGAACCGTCCCCGTCGACGTCGTCGGTGCTACGGCCCCAAGAGCACACCTACGATTACGTCGCTAGACGAAGACTGCCATGACTGCGCGCAGAAGCAGGAGAAGACGGGGGAACGAATTGCTTCTTTTGGGGATAGTCATGTTTCTTCCTTCTCCCTGTTGACAGATGTAGACGCAGATACCGAGACGGAATTAGATACAGATACATCAATGACAGTATCAACATCGACATCGACATCCATATCGTCAATCCCATCAATACGTGCCTCATCACCTCTCGACATGTCTATTCTCAAAGAGCGCGACCCCAATCTACCGTCTAAATGCTCGCTCATCTCGATTCTAGACCTAGACCTAGACCTAGACTTGCGCATGGAGTTGATAGATATGGATCTGCCCGAGCCGCTGGTTGGCTTTGAGCTCTAACTCGGAGTTGGTTGTATGAAGAATGTAGGTTTAGAGGAATAGGAAGAAGTTATATGAGAAGAAAGGGGTGTGAGAGAAAGGAAATATGGCTGGTTTGTTAATTATTGCTCTTATCTGGCAGGTATAAGTGGGCTCCTTTGGTCATTTTGATGATGACGACGACGACGATGATGATGAAGAGAAGCTACTGAAAGTATAAATAGGGCTTATATATGCCAAAATCGAGGAATCACGCCGAATTATGTATTGCTGTGTGTCTGTAATGGGATCGTGGCATTGTTATTGCTATTGTTTCTTACGAGTAACTCCCTCGCTTGCTATAGGGGCTATATACTCGTTTTATTATGGTGAACTATGTAGCGTATAGTTCATTAGCTCTATAATACCTAACCAGCTACAAGGTGAAGTATTACACATGCAACTTATCTCAGGTTCTTATCCTTTAACCTCCAAAGTCCATCTTCAACGCAATAGTCGGCTGGTCTTGGGTGCTCGAGTTCTTCACCGGCCCACCGCTCTGCCGACCCGAACGAATCACTTCCTCCATAAATGCCTTCTGACCCTCGTTCATCGCCGCCACTACGCCCCTGAACCCCGCTTGGTCCGCTGACGCTAATTCCAACAGTCTTGCACTCGTCTCGTAGTACACGTCTGTGCCCTCGCTAGCCGCGCGGGAAAGCAGAGTCGGCACGACGATGGACATGGCGATCTGTGTATGCCCGCTGCCTAGGGTGGCTACGTATTGCGTTAGAGATTGCGCTACGAGCTTGCGCGCATCTTCTGGGTCCTCTGGTTCCGTATCGACTACGAAGGCGACTAATCGGGGGAGGAGATAACGGGCGATGGATTGGTCGGCAGGTGAAGGAGACGGTTGCAGCAGAAGAGATCGGATGCAATTTGCCGCGATCTTAGCTGTCTACAAGAAGATAGTTAGTGATATTCACGAGAAGACTACGTATAATTCCAAGGGGGGGGGGGGGGGGGGGGGGGCTTACCATGCGGTCTGTTAGACAATCCACCAGTTCGTCGAGATATTTCGCCACGAGACGGTCGTTAGCTGCAAGACGATTGCTCCCCCCTGTAAAGAGTATTGTAATGGCAAGTAGACAGTTCTTGACACATTGCAGAGAAGTAGGCGTCTCACGCTTTTGTGCATTCAGATAGATGGATAAGTATCGGCGCAGGCAACCTTCTACTTGCACGTCGGTGGCAGACTTCGCCTCTGCTGAGCCGTGAGAACTGGACATAGTCGCCATGAACCTTTTAAATATGGGAAGAGCCTGTGGGACGATGATCTCTTGACAGGAGGGCGTTGCTAGTATAGTGGCGAAGATGTGGATTATACAAGCATGCAAGTCCGTCTTGATGATTGCTGGGAACACTTCTGCTGCATCTACCATAGCGTTTAACCCCGTTCGGACAAGAAGGACGGCCTCCTCGGTCAGATGATGGCGCACTGGCTGATTCGTCTCGGTCAAATTAGGCAATAGCCCAGATAACACTAAAACGATGATCCTAGTGAGCTCGAATAGCTGCTCAATGTCTTCGCTTAAGTCGCCGTCGTCTTGTTGCTCCTGTTTCCTTGCTGAAGGATGAGCAACACAAAGGGCTCGCGCGATTTCGACTATAACTCCCTGAACATCAAGGCCTTCTGTCAGCACGAGGCGATCCAATAAATCCATCGTCTCGGAGAAGATTGCCTCTCGGTAGATAGCATGGCCCGAAACGCTCGGATGTAGGATCTTCTTAAGAGCCTGTAGTATCTCGAGAGTTTGTTCCTGAGTAGCCAAGGAATCGACTTGGTTTGACTTGGTTGCAAGCGCTTCAAAAGCGATGCCGAAGAGGACGAAGAAGAAAGCGACCGGTTCGTCACGATAGTTAATATCAGCACTCTTAGATTGCCCATTAGTACCTGACGCATCAGCTTCCTTTCCGTCTAGGGCATCAAAAACAAATTCGCTGTCTTGCTCAATGAGGCTTGCAATAGCATCGACGAGCTTTAACCAGGATTCCTGGTAAAATTTGAGAAGCGTCTCGCGGTTGAGAGCCGCATAAATAGTGTCGAGACTACCCGACATAGATGGGGGACCTAATGTCATCGAAATGTCTGGTTCAAATCTCAACCGAGCGAACTCCCGCAACGAGGCCAGCCACAACGGGGTCAGCGTGCCGATGTGAGGTTTCAATACATTGAGTAAATACTTCTGCTCCGAGCTAGCTACCTGAAGCTCCGCCCATGCCGAATAAACCGACATCTTAACCATTACCTGCGCATTAGAGCTGAGGCCCTTGAGATCACCAATCCCAGCGTTCTCTGTTTCCGTAGAGAAGTTCTCAAGGGCAGTAACAAGTGTCTTTAAGATTCGACCCATGCGATCGATATCCGTCACGATACCCGTGGAGATGAACGCGGCGCACACATTGACAGCCTCCGCAGCCAATTCAGGAGACGAATCTGCAGCGAAAGCAGGCGTCAACGCCGAGCTGATTTGTGCCTGGTATTGTTCGAGCAGCATTGCTTCCTCGAAGTCAGGGTCCGGTGCTTTGCCAAACATTCTCAAGACGGCACCGATTATCTTCAACCCCCATATCCTTAGCTCTAACACGCTAGACGTCGAAGCTGAGAAAGCCATACGGATAACGTCGGCGATTCTAGCCTGGAGGGCAGACTGCGCAGGTGACTCGCCATTTGTAGCAACGTCTTTCCCAATCGTTATGAATATTTCGTTGAGACAACTCATTGCGAACGTCCTAACTTGCCAGCGCAAAGGCTCCATTTCGGAATTTGAAGGTGAGTCTTTATCATCCTTAGCGGTGCCGCCGGCTGCAGCGAATCCGGCGACTTCTTCGTCCTGTAGATCGAGAGTGGCAGTCGGTTTTCGGTTGGCGTCGTGAGTCTCTTCGGCAGCTTTTGGTCGGGTCATCTTGAGAACATTTTGGCAACGGAGGAGCCAGGCACCGGTTTCTGTTAACGAAGTTTGGCGTAGCCAGTTTCGGATAACATTTCGAATTCCGTCGTGGCTAGGTGATACATCTAGCACGAGCCATAATTGGTTCTCAAAGCCTGGATTGGCTGCTTCCAGAACATCGAGGGAGTTCCTCTTCATCAGATTGTAAAGACCGTCTACTGCAACGTCGCGAAGGATGGGAAATTCGGAGTTGAGATACTTCTGTAATGTTTTGACATAATCGCTAAATACCATGTGCCCAGGAGCGTATAGGGACAGATGCTCCAAGCACGCCAAGCTTTCGCGCTGTACGAGAACGTCCTCTTCGCTTTGTAGCTGGTCGACAAGAGTGAGAATCAACTCGCGTGATTTGGTGGAATCTTGCAAGTCCGGTCCCACAACATTGATCAGAGAGTCAACGCAACGCGTGATAGCTGCCGTAGTCGATAACTCCATCTCCAAGCTCATAGAGATAGGAGAAGATACTTCGGAATGGTGAGTTTCCGAAAGGTAAAGTTGAGAAACCATTCCGAGTGATCCAGAGATATACGGCGAAAATCCAAGGCCCGTAGCGTCGGCGGCATCAGCTAGAGCCTCGAGGGCCCAGTAATGCACTGTTGGGTGTGGATCATTACACAGAGACATCAGAATACCAGTGATTGTCTTGAGATGGTACCCAGCACCCATGCCACCTACCTTCGACTGGATAGAACCCAGGGCCATGGCGCACCCTGCTCGGGCGCTAGGTTCTCGATTGCCCACAATAGTGTCGACCAAATGCTTGATCTCGTGGTTGGTAAACGCATTGCCACACGCGTTACAGAGACGGGCGACAGCACCATAACCTAGGCTGCGTATGTACTGGTCCGGATCAACTACGAAGCTCCTAGTCATTTCTTGTACGAGCTTCTCCACTGCTATATTTGTAAGATTGCCGGCTGGCGACTGAGTCTCTTTCGCGGCAACCTTTAGAGTGAGGAATAGAGCACTGGCAACGTTTACAGTAATGGCTGCTTTACGGCCGAGATCGCGCTGTAAAGAACCAGCCGAAGTGAACGTGGCAATCTGTTCGAGAACGCTCTCCTGTACTTTAGCTGGTGTAAGAGGAAAGACGAACGCAAATAGCTGAATTGCCATATTCACTACCTCGGTAGCAGGGGGTGCTGGAAGATCCATGGACAAGTCTTGCTCGCCGACGTAGAGCACAGCGGCATCGTGCTCTAGCGATGAGCAGATTGGTGACAGAAGCAGGTCGTCAATAATTCCATCTGGATTAGGCTCGTCTGTCTCTAGCTTATCATCTGAATCATCCTTCTCTCCAGGGAGCCTCTTGACTTTGAAACCGCGGACTAGGTCATTGACACCGTAGCCGGAATTGTCACCAACATCCCAGATAGTCTCAAAAGTCCCCGCAGCGTTGGCAATAGATGCACTTAGGGTATTAGCTGCGTAATTCTCGGGGTCGGCAAATAGGGATATTGCTAGGGTAAGGAGATTGGATTGTAAAAGTGACTCGCTTCCTCCGGCTGGGCTTTGGTTCACCAGCATAGTATAGCACTGTAAAACTCTTCGCTGGACCATCATGTCGAGGTCATGCAGCTGTAAAGCAGGAGTCAACCGTTGTGAAATATCATCGGTGGTTTTCTTTGAGGGCAGCATCCTGAGAAACACACTAGTATTTTGAAGCATCGTAGCAATGCGTTTCGATACATCAACAGTTAATAAACGGCTGTTGAACTGAAGGAACGAGAGAATAGAACCCAGTGCGCATTCCTTGACGTGAGTCAAGTATGAAACTTCTAAAATGTTACGATGAGCAAAATTATCTTTCGCCAACGGCTTTGGCAGGGCATTTTTCCAGAGAACAAGTAACTGCGAGAGATGAATCTTGACGAAATTAGGTCCTAGCGACATAAGCCCCCCAAGGAGGATCCACGCAACCTGGACCTGCGTGCTCGAGACACGAAGCTCGGACTGGCCACTGGACTTAAGCAGGTTGGTAGCCATGGAGTAGACCCGGTTGTTGATATCAAGGGAGCCATGTAATGGGCGAGATGGGCTGGCACTCAGGGTTGCAGCCAATCCATGAGCAAACCCAACACATCTCCTCGGAGAGTTTCGTGCGCCTCCGAGTAGGGACAACTCCCTGCTAAGACTGTTCATACAAACAGACAAGCAAGGTAGGAGTTGCTGTGGACACGCAAGAACGAACGTTTTCATGCAGAATGAAGCAGATACCTGAACACTATAACTGGGATGCTGAAGTACTTGCAATAGTCCATCTCGACAGGGTTCTGCGAAGTTATTTGCGGCTGATCCAAGCGACTTGATAAGTGACGCCACTGCACCAAGAGCTGCAATCAGGGTATGTTTTGTCGGCTCAGGTCGCTCCTTGAGCGTTTGGGGATAGTTCTTAAAAACATCGTTGACGAGCACCTTAGCAACAGTCGTCTGGCCTGATTCCCCAAGTATCCTGTGACCTATTACAACCTGGAGGACCGTATCGACAATTCGACGCGAGATGAGGAGTCTATATCGATTGTTGACTATGTTTTGGTGGCCTAATAAGTCGATAGCTAAGCTCTCCAAGATTCTCAAATAATTCTTTTCGACAAAATTCTCTCCTAATCGTTTTAAAACCCTCCCATAACAAACACCAATAGCTGCTCTGGCTCTGTTGGTAGTAGATAGTCTAACGTACTGAGTCGTAAGAGTCTTAAAAATGTCACTTAGCGACAAAACAAGAACCTGGCTTTTTTTGCCAGGCGCTGGGCTACCTGGTCGTGACGGGATATCATCATCTTCTTCTAGCCCAATGCCCGGCTGGACAGAGGCCCTTTTACTAGCTTTGGACTTGGGTTTCTTGGTTTTCGGTATCCCCGCCAGTGTGGACTCGGAATGGCTTTTCACCATAGCTTCAGCTAAACAGTCCGCAGCAGCATGTCTTACATGTGAGGAATTAGAGTCAATAGTCTTGAAGAGGGTCGATTTCAGATTCTCGAAATCGCCCGAGTTCTCAAAGTACGAAGTATATCTAGCCAACGACTTTAGACAACGGCAAGCGGACACGACAGTTAGAGAACCCTTGTCGCCAGAGGCGGCATTCCGTGCTTGCTTCCAAATATCCCTGGTTATGCTCTCATCTAAGCTTGATCGCACCATGCCTACAATCTTGTTCAAGGAAATAAGCACGGCAGCGCGCAACCCAGCGTGACTTTGTGACGACTTAAGCAGCTTAACGAGAGCGCCACAGGCTAATGGGTGTAGGCCGATGGCGCTGTCACCGGCAGATGCGTACACATCCCCCAAGCAACTAATAGCAGCATGTCTGGTTCGAACTTCATTTTCGGTCTTGTATTTCCCGGCGGATATTATAGAGACTAGCTCATTTATAGTATCGAAGAGTAATTTCCTATCTCCATTCCCGAGGAAGTAGGCAAGTATCTTGCCAAGATTGACCCTTATCACTCGGCTAGGGGAGGGAGTGGACAAGTTGATTATCTGGAAGACCTCTTTCTTGAGGTAGAACTGCTGGGCAGTACAATCATCGTTCGACAAGCTATGGACATGTTTGCTTAAAGAGGAGACGAAGTTCAGTAGGAAGAGATCCTGCTGTTCGGTGGGAAGCGATTGGAGTTTCTGAAGGTCGAGTTCCGGATTGGAAGTGGTAGTCAAGGAAGCGCGCGCAGGCGCTGCGGCTTGAGAGGCGCCGTTAGACTCTCGAGGGGGGGAACTTGGCGCTGACATGGAAAATCATGGATATTCTATTGAGGCGCATAAAAGGAGAATAGTTTCGACTGCGGTGAATAAATGAAGACTAGACTGGAAGAGTCGCGATTAAAATATATGCTATCGAAATATGAAGGTGAATAAAAGGTAGAGGTACCTAATTATGAGATATCGAAGGCACGTGGAAGGCAGTATTCCAGCGTACCTGACTTCAAAGGGGTATGGCATAAGTAAAGGTATTCGGCAGTAACGAGTCCAATAGCCAATCATAAGTGATAACAATATTGGGTTCAATTGTATGGATTATCTGCTAATTACATACATGTAGCTTCAATCGCTTAAGGAAATAACCTTTAAACCTTTCTAAACTAGGCTTAGCCTCTTCAAGAATATGTAAAGCTATGAAGTACTTCAAGATCTACTTTGACATCCAGAGTGAATTTATATGAGGTAGCCATAGCTCTATTTCAAAATGTCTATCCACCTATTCTTATTCACCGGCCGAAGTCTTGCATCAAGGTCGATTACTCCCTCCATATGCGCCCAATTTCGCCGATCTCTTGCTTCGAGCGCAGTGCTTAACAGCGGTCATAATCGCTGGTCCAAAATCAAGCACGAAAAAGGCGCCGCCGATGCGAAGAAAAATGCCCAGCGAAGCGGCTTCGCCAAAAATTTGACCCTCTGGTCACAACGTTCGTATCCTACATAATGGTCAGCACTCCCGATCTAAGCGCTGATGGAGTGCAAGATAGTGTATGGGCCAGAACCGGGTCTCAATGGGCGACTAGCTCAGGTGATCGCGGCCGCAAAGAAAGGTAATAGGTATATCAACGAGGCGAGGGATAGGCCTAAGGATATATAAAGTCTACAAGACCAATGCGAAACCAGATTCTAACAAATATCACAACCATAGCCGGTATGCCGAAAGCTAGCATAGACATAGCCATAGCACGAGGTCAAGGCAAATCGTCGTCCGGGGCGGGACTTGAAATCATGACGCTCGAAGTTATGATACCGCCAGCCGTAGCTATGGTAATCGACATCGCGACAGACAACAAGCAGCGCGCATTACAGGACCTTAGGGGCATAGTAAAAAAATACAATGGTACCGTAACGCCGACCACATTCCTATTCGCCAGGTTTGGCCGCGTCGTTCTAAAAGGTGACAAAGACGACGATTTCGACTTCGACGAGGTGTTAATGGAGGCGGTCGAGGCTGGTGCTGAGGACGTCGAGCAGGATAAGAAGGGCAACGTGGTCCTCCATACGCAGCCGAATACTACGCACCAAATAGCGCAGGACCTGAGCCAAAAGCTACTTACCGAGATCTTAAGCTGTGAAATTATATGGTCGCCAATAGGGGACAAAGTAAAGCTTGATGATCAGGAGGCGGCAACGAACATAAGCGCCTTCCTAACGGCGCTACAAGAATATCCAGACGTGCAAGGAGTTTAGTAAGCCTACCCCGTGAATACCTCACTACCTACTAATTCCCCTCAACAAAATACTTGGTATTAACTCTAGAAATCTACAGTGCGAACGCCGAACGAGGAAAGATAACCAAACAACTTTGGACGAGCATAGAAGATAACCTCGACACGTAATCTGTAATGTTTATACAATCCGTAGATAGGTATGTATGCCTAATGTAGACTATTGTACATGTTGTATCGTGCAACAGTCCTCATTTGGTTTCCGTCTTTACGAGGAGTGGAGAGACTGGCCTTGTCGCCTCGTGCTCGAGTCAAGTCCAAAGTCCAAAATATGTAATGGTCGCGTCATCATGTTCCAATCCCATTTTCCTTCCGTCTCCCTAAACGCCGTCGAAGTCAATGCACCTATTTCCCTTAATTGCCTATGTTAAGCCCTGGAGTCTTGTCTAACGCGGCTACTCCTGCTCTCTACTCCCAGGCTGCGACGTCTGCCGCGCCTCGTTCTCGAGCCTCCTGTCCCTGAGATATAGCCGTCGCGCGCGTAATCGCTGTAGCTCAGCGTGGATCTCGTCTCGGTCTATGGGCACCTTGTTCGCCTGCTCGGCCTTGGGCCAAAAGTCGGGGACGGCAAAACGCTCGTCAAGGTTCGTACCGAAGTAGTACATGATGCCGATTGGGAACATGACGTACATGCCGAACTATATGTGGTGACGGTAAATATGCGTGCCAACCAGAGAAAAAAAAAACATGGCAAGGAGGGGTAGTTAGTTGGGTTGGTAACTCACCTTGAAAACTTCTAAGTTTAGGCCGCCCATTGCGAATAGCTTCGGTTGAATTGAAGGGACTTCGGCTCTTATTAATGAGGTATAGACATAAAATCGAGGCGATCACATACGGAATAGAACCTACCCAGGTAGGTATGTGGTGTAAATTGTAAATTGTAAATTGTCTAGGTAGTAGTCGCACTTGGGAAGCTTCCAATTAAAGCTTTCGAAATTCGATATACTAAAGTGCCTTGGCTTTGATTGGTTCAATTCGTACCCGCATTAGAGCCGGGTAGCTGCATCGGGATATCCATTTTTCCTTGTGCTACCTGCAGCCGCCTGGAGGTTCCAATGGTACATACTTGAAGGTACCTCTTACCCCTGAAAACAACGTTCCCAGCATATTAAAGCTATAAGTAAAATAGGGGTAACCAGAATAGGGGATTTAAATATCGAACCAGACACACTATATCTCTCAAGTCCATAATGTGAATCAGCCACTTACATGCATTGAGATTCAGGTGTAGATATGTGAGAGGTGTCATGATAGAAACGTTATATTATATTTTTAAATTCCTCGCTACCGCAGTGGTGGACCGCAACTCTTAGTAACCCTCCAAGCCGCCAAACCTCGTCTACCAACTACTCTTTGCAGTGTAGGCCAAAACCCGTCTTCCGCCCAGTCTAAGTCATCCAAGTTTAAATGCTTGCTATGCCGCCAAACCTCCCGAAACCGTAGCCCCTCTAAACCCTTGTTGTCTAAATATGGATCGAGCCACGTCGATGAGATCGGCGCGATCAAGTATGTGCCGTTTGGCTCCTTGAGATATTCAAGGCTCCTACGGTCGGCTGGTGTGTCACAGGTCGCTATCCGCGTCAACTCCTCAAATAGTAGGGGTCCCTCTATCGACGCTACGTCCCTAGTCTTCAGAACCTCGTTCTTACCATTCAGAAGCCATATTGGCGGCATATAAGTTTTCCACCATATCGCTTGTGTTGCGTCTGGTTGTTTGCTCAAGAATACCTGAGCTGGTACGATACCACCCTGATGGTATACCCCCATAAGAAGGCCAAGGACCATATTGAAGCCAACCCAGGCAGAAATCCAGATTTTTCGATGCGTCGACTTCTTCGGAAGCTTTAAGGACGAGAGCAAAAGGGGTACCGTTGGCAGCAAGAATCGTGCTTCCTGGTGTTGAAAGATGGATAGAACCAACACCCCTGATATCGCCGAATACAGTCTGAGCGACAGGTGTGGTTTTGTGAACAAAAGAGCCACAGCAGGCCCTATAAGCAGCGGGAGGTTTATTAAGAGATGTTGGTACCAAGGGTGCAATCCGTGCTCTGCTAAATTTGAGGGAGAGAGGTTGTATTGCAGGTTATTTAAAGGCGTAACAACAGGATTACGGTAGAGATCTAACCACGTAATAGAGTGCGGTGTATAGAAAGCTGTATCAAGAGAGATAGCAATAAAAACTGTAAAGAGCCCTGACGCTGCCATGGTGACAAGGGATAAAGGTCTTCAAAGTAAGTTAGCCACTCGACCTAACAAATCAACGCCCCAAAGGCATGAAGGCCGGTCTGAGAGTAATGAGACTTACCTATGTATAAAATGGGGTATCAATCGAATTCCAGGAATAAGCAAGAATGCAGGAAACGTTATCCTATTAAAAACACCAAATACGGCTACAACACCAAGTACCGTCGACGCCGCCAGGGCGGAGGTTTGTGCCTGCGTAAGAGTTAGCTCATAAATTCAGACACGACTAAAAGTTTACGGACACAACTTACCGAAGCCTCGAGAATGCGCTCAACGAGCACTAGACACCACATAACGACAAGGGTCTCGATCGAATTAGAGAAAGTATGCGTTTGAAAAGTCCAGGTCACGTAGGATGATCCTACCAACAATAAGGCAGTGTTGCGATGTCGCGTTGACTGAACTAGCTCATGAATAGCCCAATCCTCCAGGACGAAGCTGATAACAAACATCAGCACTCGCAACGTCCAGAATACCGTGATCGGTGGTATTTCGCCATCGTTCCCAATACCCTCCCATAACCACTTCAGTAGAAGCATGGGCAGTCCGTAAACCGGCCATAGCGGGAAAACACTACGTATGGGATTATCGCTCGTAAATTCCCAAGTTAGTCGGACGGGGTAGCTGAAGATTTGACCTATATTGCACGCCGAGTTGTTAATTTATAATCTTTGCAAACGGCTGCGAACGGAGCTAATTTTAGACCATTCACAAAATATGTATTTGCGCTTACCTGCTATAACTTCAGGACCTTGGAAATTTTCATCTGGGTGCAAATAGCTCGGCGAAAAAGCGAGCCATAGTCGTACCAGAACCAGAAACATATAGGTACGCCTCCACATGATTCTACCCGGAGGCGCGCATCTACGAGGGTCGTGTGGGGTATAGCTAAACGAGAGAACTGTAAGTCGTTGTAATATTTTGCGATATTGCGGTAGCTGTCGCGTCACGTCGAACGGTCGTATATACAATTAATGTCGCTGTCGCTGTCGCGTTATCGCATTTACCGAGTACGTAGGCGTGATTGTTTTCTTATGGAGTATAGAATCGCCCAGGATTTAGCATCGCAGCAGGAAGCGAACAAGATATTATGTAGACAGGAGACAATGCCTATGGTATCGAAGAAAGCAACAAAAGGGAAAGGAGTGTGGGCTAAATTTATTCGTTGTTATCAATAAAAAAAATTTATCAAAGGAGAGGAAAGAAATAAAAATATCTAAAGCGAAATAAGGCAAAGGCCCAATATAGTAACAACAATAAATTGCAAGCCCTCGAGATAGATGTATGTACATACACACTATGGTAAAAATGGTAGGGATGAGAGGTAAGATGACACGGGTCACGAAATAAGATCACGGAACACAGGCTGACATGTTACCATTTCCCGGCATTTTGGGTCAATTTTGGGTAATCCGCATGCATCCTCGTTCGATCGTTAAGTACATATCTGCATAATATTACAAACCTCCCACAGCATTCTTACCGTATATGGCTAGACATGTACTGTTTGGAAATAGTCTAGAATGCCGTGCATGGATCGATTGCGAAAAAGGAACTGTCAAATCTAAAGGTTATTAACTGGGTCAATTCCTACGGATCCGTATGATGATGTATGTACTCCATATGTATGTACTTTGTTACCTACCTCCTATGTACATACCTCCCTATGAAATCCCTTCGCGAAAATATCTAATTTACCCAGAAGAACAATGCATTATGCAAAGTTGCAAGTCACACCTACTTTATCACGCATAATATATTGATTAATATGTGATGTAATATTCGAGATGTTCATTTATAATTATGTATATAAGTAGCTTCGTTCAGCTTAACGCCGAACCGTAAAAGATCTAGCTCTATGTAAACTTTGCCGATCAATACTCTATAACATAGGTATATAGACGTTGTATATCATCTACAACCGAGCCAATATAAAAGACCTCCAAATCCTACGTTAATAACGAGGTGCTGTCCCAAACTCCACGCCATGCTGTACAAATACTTTGGTGAGAATACAGTCCATATGAATAAATGCGTCCTCAAGGTCGTGCAGGCTACCATCACAAACACAAGAGCGACCGTTACAAACAACGTCAAAATCGCAACGTGCTGCTGATACACACGGTCATAGCCAGGCTTTGCCGACTCCCTGCTTTGAAGGAGTAGCAAGTTCGATGCTGAGGTCCACCATACCGGGGCAGCCCAGTTGCTAAGGAATGTCAAGATTCCTACGGCAAAGATATTGAATCCGCTGACGCCATTGTACGCGTTAGACAAATCCACGCCGGAGATTGCGTTGGAGCCTCCCATTGCGAAGAAGGAAGCAAATTGTAATAGCAGCGATGATATCGTGATATCTACAGCTCCTAGATGGAGCCCGCTCAAGTACAAGTAAATGGCTCGAAATAATAAGAAGAGGGGTATGTTAGTTACTCGAGACTGTGTCAACGCAAAAAGAGTATACAAGTGATGTAGAGTTCGCATCGCTACGCGGAAGTTAGCCGACATTGTTCCTCACTTATTTATAAAGAAAGCTCACCATCTCCTTTAGATTGCTCAGTCCCCCGCACAAAAATGCTGTATAAGGGACATATCGAAGTAAGTCCAAGACCGAGGAACACCGCTCGTGCTCGGTTCACAAGGGTCGGTCCGTCAAATAAGACCACAAGCGTCCTCGCGAATCCAACAATTAGCTCAGGGGCGTCTTCGTTAGTAAAAGCGAGCTTGAAAGATATTGCTGATGTCGCTAATCCCACAACTATGGAACCTGAGATGGTAGTCGGGATCCTCCGAAGCCCGTTAAATAAATCTAAAGAGACCATCGCATACGTCGTGAGGGTAAGAGACCAGAGTAGTTGCGGATTTGATGCCATAAAACCAGTCACGATATCGGGCTCACCGGCAAACTTTTGCCCAGTCTGGTTCCATCCTCGAGTCAACCGCATAGCGCCAAGCGCAATGAAGCCCATGAGGAAAGACTTATACGTCGCCCTTGAACTCCTGCTTCTACGTTAGTTCGGTAATGTCGAACCCCGATAGGTGCCACTTACGACCTGATCGCGAGATAGAATAACCACGCAGAAGTAGCCCAATACCAAAAGTGTTGCTCTTCCTCAACATAACTACTGGCAAACATCATTATGCTATATAGCACCGTGATGAGTACAAGTGGTGCGAATTTAGAAGCTGTTACGGAAGATGAAGTTACTACGGTGTATACCGCCGCGACGGAGGCCGCTACCGCTACCCCTTCGCCGTAGATGAGCATTGACATATCATAATTGCTCGCCATGCCGCTCATTAAAGTCTGCGCCCTTGATAACCACTGAGGATTGTTAATACGCCATACCTATTTATGATTAATAGGTTAAATATCGCACCTTTGACACATCCATTATCTGCTCTTCACCTGGATTTCCCCCGCTTGAGGTAGTTTCGGTTATTTTGCTAATTTGCTGCCATTCACAGGCCAATTCTTCAGCCCCAGAACTAGGGTGAACACAATCAAGGTTGGGGGTTCTACCAACTGATGACGAACCACTAAAGCTTGCGGTGACAATATCGAGGATCTGCCTTGCATTACGCACAAGAATCTGGAGCCTATCTCGTTCTTAAACTAGTTAGCAGGGTGCGTACCAATTATGAAGAGGGCTACTTGCTTTCTGGCCAAAAAGGTAGAAAGTCTACCATAAACGAGCCTAGATTATTTTTGGGTATCGGAAAGCCGAGCAAAGCGGCAAGAGTAGGGGCCAGATCAGACTGCTCTACGACATTGTAATACTGGAAATCATCGACGAAATCTGCTGGCACTTTGACGGGATTTGCGATGGACTTCAGTTTAGGTGATACAAACACGAGGGCGGCTGAAGTTTCTCCGGGAGAAGAGGCTCCATGGTTACCAGCATCATTCATACCATGGTCACCACAGAAAACAAGAAGTGTCGAATGAAGATGTGGTTGCGTCTCCATTGCCTCGTATATTTGGCGAATAATTCCATCCATCTCCTGCTGCTTCGGAATCATATTTGGGCCCCGAGGGCCGGTTTTATGACCAATGTGATCAAGGCCGAGGTAATGGAGAACCATTGTATTCCAATCATCGTTGCGCAACTCGTCAGGGATGTGCCTTGTCACGTTGTTGTCGACTTCCGTAAAATCGGAGACGAAGAAGCTCGAAGTGCCATCCGCTCGATCGAAAACACCGGGGAATAATTTTAGCCACGTATCATCACCGTACATAACTAGCTTCCCTGGTTTTTTTGCTTTCATCTGAGCCAGCCAAGTGTCCTGGACAGAGAGCGTCGAAGACGTGTCGGCTTCGTCGAAACTCAAGATCGCATCGAGGAAGGAAGGCGTAGAACCAGTAGTAATCGCTTTTATCCGAGGCATCGTGATAGTCGGCGACGTAGCACGAGCGGTGTAGGGAATGGCAACTCCATTTTGAATAAGCCTAAAAGTTCGTGTCAGCGATACAGGCCTGCGAGTTATGTCCTGATCTCTCTAACCTTTGAGTAAACTCGAAGCCAGAGCCATTTAGATATACGAAGTCGCTGCGCTGGTCAGTTAGACAAGCGCACGGTGACGGGTGATAGTTGCGCAAAGTGAACGAACCTGCGCAAAGCATCGACAACCATGAATATTAGACGATCGAACGGCGCTTCAGGTGGCGAGCCATAATCGATAGGTTGGTATTCGGCTAGACCAGGCAAGAATGGTTTATAAGGAAAGAAACCAACAGCGAAGAGGAGGATTGCGACAGGTATTAGAAGATTAGCTGCGATGAGAAGTACAATCGAGACTGGGAAAACATTATGGTGGTACATGACCAATTGTAGTGCATATATTAGCTTTTCTGGCCGGTTATAGCTATATTTAAAGCTGTATTTATAAATGCAAGCCGGAGGTCAATTTCACCTATGCTCCATTGTCTATCATAAAGTGAGGGTTCGATTAGAGATTAGAATAGTAACCAGAATAGATTGGTTTTGCGATGTTGAAAGCTGAAATTACAGAGCTAGTAGATCCACTCATAACGTTGCACCCAGGTGATGTACTTCCATGTGCAAGCACGAAGGGACAGGTGTATTTTCTTACCCTATAATATTAAGGTTAGGTACCGTGGGGCACTCTATGCATTTACTGAAGTATGTATGTATCCTTTGCAGCTAGGTCATGTATGTACCTATGTATGTAGCTGTCCATGTACCGCAGGGTTCCACACACACCCCACAACTTGATCAGATGTTCATGCATATGCTAAGACCCACTCTCTTGTCGATTTCATCCCACTTCAAATGTTCCGGAGCTTTCCAAAACAAGTTCAACGTCGCCGCAAGCTTAAACGAGTTATTCTCTTCAATAATCATATCGATCACAACCGTCCTAATGTTTTAAGTATTTCAAGAGCCAAGTGTCATTATGACTATCAACGACCCGCCTAATAATATTTTTATCCGCTTCAAGAATCACATTGACAACAATATCTACCGAGGTTTTCAGACCATTCTCACATTGCCAGTACATATGGAGAACCGTGAGCAAGAAATAGACAACAGTCTAACCAACAGCCACGACATTGTTCCCCAACAAAGAGAGCCGGTGGTTCCTCCGTCAAATCTGAGTACATCTAGTCCAGATGATACGAGAGACGCCGAAGTAAAAGACGTCTACCACTGGGCCATCTCATCTCCATATTCCCCTCTAAATCTCCAATCCTTACGGCAACCTCGTCCGGCCGATGCGCCTCGAGATTACCCCGATTGCTTCACATTTCGGGACGCATTCGAAGATCTTTTGGCAGTGAATTCTGGAAAACCTCTATCTGACCTGCGCAGACTTATATTCTTCAAACACTTTGAGCATGTGCGGTACTTTCCCTGGGGAATGTCCGTTGAAAACTGGGTTGCCGGTGTTGGACTTCGCGGCCTTTGGGGAACTTATTTCCCTCTCTCCCCATCGGCCAAGCGTGATTTGTCCTGCGGTATAATCTCGCCTTGGAGAAGCCTACAGATAGGAGAAACGACATTTCATCAATCACCTGTATCGACGTGGCCCAGCATGATCTTCCCGCCTTGGGAGCATCACCGGTTATGGCGATATGGTGATCCGATTGGATCCGAAGAAAAGCCAACTGAGTGCGAAGCTGAAACGACGTACCCCCAAGAAGCAGACACGGAATATGATTTATACGAGGCTACGCGCTCTGAGCCTACTACGGATAATAAGGTAGTAGAGACAAATATCCCTCAAGGACTAAGTAATCAAATGAGATCGAGCCAGACTACTAATTCCCAGGATTCTAATGACGAGACTGTGACCCAGACGACTGAAACATCAGATGGCGGTAAGATTGTAAAGACCATCGAACAACACGGCTCAAAATTCGGGAAAAGAGTCAGTACTACCATAGAACGATTCAATGCTGCCGGCGAGCTGGTCTCTAGAAGCCGGACAAGCAACTGGTCATGGTCTTATCAGTCCCCGGACACATCTTCAAAATCCTTTGATGACGAGGGGTCAAATTCAGATGATGAGAACACAGATTGGCCCGATGATAAGGAGGGAAGGTCTACTAGAAGGGACCACAAGTCTACTGGTTGGTTTTGGAAATAGCTTCAACTTTGAACATGGCTCCCCTTATATCGTCTATGATGAGATGCTATGAGCATCACTGCTCACTTTCAAGCATACGCCTTCACATATATACCCACTCAACTCGTTTAAGCACACCAATATACATAATCGTAAGTTGGCAGAAATAAATTCCATTTAAAGTATGTGTTAGAAGCTTTGTATTCTTGCTCGAAAACCATGCTTTTGTGCAATCTAATTATAGCCCAAGTTTCTAGGCATAGCTAATAGCTACATGGTACACTCAATGACGTGCCTGGGCCTTCTTCTTCCTCGTCATCCGTTTCCTCGCGATAATCTTCTGTTGTAAGGCATCCTTCTCCGAGACTTCCTCGTTCGCCTTGGCGCCAGAATTATCACCTGCTGTTTCAACCTTTTTCTGCCCCCTCCATTTTCCATTTGACACAGAAAAGTCCTTGCCTTTTGGTGGATATCTTGACCCATTCGCATTCGCACTTCTGTCTTGGCCTTGTCCATCAGGGCGCTGATTGCTTCGGAATGTCCGTTGTCTTTCTTGGTTGTCCTTCCTCCTTGCTACTACCTGGGCGTTCTCAATAGCAAACTCGACAATCAGCCGCTGTGTTTTTCCAGCCGGGGTCTTTAATGCGTGCCCGTTTAGCCACCGTAAGCCCATGAGTGCCCATCGATGCGAGGAGTATTCGATGAAACCATAGCCTCGACTTTTACTGGCACCGTCCACTTCAGGCACTTTTGATCCTTCTTTGTTCTCGAATACTATCTTCGCTTGCTTGACTATACCTTTACCCTTCTCTTTTCGCCGGCGTTCGGCCTCCTTGTCTTCCTCACCGCCCCGGGAATTCTCCTCCTTGGAAAGCGGCTCTCTTCGGCCTTCCTTGACATCCTTAGCGAAGCCAACAACAGCTTCACGAGCTAAAGCCTTAAGCTTCTTTGAATCCAAATCGCGGGGGATATTGCGAATCGCTAAACGAGTGAGACTTAGATGAAGACTTGGGTTGCTTTCGATGAGCTTTTTCCGTTGGGCAGCACTATCTTCGCGAATTTTGACTTCCGTGGGGGCGAGCGTCGCATATAGGGGTGAATCCGTCATGAGAGCACCTTCAGATAATAAGTATAGTCGGCGCTTATCTTTTTCCTTGCCAAGCCGAGCGGCAATACCCTTTTCTGCGAGATTACTCGCTTCATCTTTGCTTACAGCCTGTGATACTTGAAGAATGCGACCATCCATAGTGTACTTGCCCTGCTCATCCGCTAGTTCGTTCTGCAGGATCGATTTTTTATTAGGTATCGTAGATTGCTGGGCGCGTGGTGCACCCTTAAGACATGCCTTCGAATCATTTTCGCTGACAAAACAGACGAAACCTGTGCCGGCCGGCCGATCAGTCGCTCGATCGATTACGATACGGGCGTACCTGACGTGTCCAAATTGCTCGAAGTGAGATTTCAGTTCTGTGTCTGTAGCTGTAAAGGGTAGATTGCGAATAAAAATAGTCGACTTATTATCTGTCATAAAGGATTTCTTAGGGGTAGGCTCGCGTCCTAATGCGGCACCACCTTCATTATCAGCGTCTTCGGATTTGTTATCGTCTGGGTTGGCATCGCTGTCTTCATCCTCCAGATTTTCCATATGGTTTTTCATGAAATTTTTTATATCCTCATCCTCTTCGTCGTCTTCGTCTTCTTTCTCGTTTTGGTCTTCGCCTGACTTAGCGCCATCGTCTTCCAATGCTTCGTCCTGGTCCGCAGGTTTAGTATCTTTACTCATGCTGTCATCTTTATCTGGTTGCTGCTTCTGTTGCTCCCACGTCTGCTTATCAACAGCCCAATCGACAGCTAGAGTTCTGCCGTCAATGGTCTTCCCATTGATAGCTTCTATAGCCTTTTCTGCATTCTTTCGGCCACGCATAGTAATGAAACCGAACCCCGAGAGTTTCCCTTTGGCATTTGGAAGGTCGGCATATTTTACTTTTCCAAACCCCTGGAATAAGGATGCAAGTTGATCTGACTTCTTAATGCTCCAGGGCAAATTTCGTACGATCAACTTGGGTGCTTTACGAGCCTCAGCCAGGGTTGCTTGCCTCTCGGCCTTCTTAGTAGCGGCATCTACTGACTCGGTACCTGGTTGGCGATGTCGAGGTTCTGCAACCTCCAAAACTAGTGGACGGCCGTCCAACTTCTGTTTGTGGAGCTTTTCTTTAGCCTCTTTAGCATCGTCGGCGTCGGTGAAAGTAACGAAGCCATAACCGCGAGAAGCCTTGGTCTGGGGATCAAGAATGACAGTAGCATGCTTTATGGGGAAATGTTGAGAGAAGAATTCGGTCAAGGTCTCGGCGGTGGCTGTAGGCGGAAGTGATCGCACAAAGAGAGATCTACTCTGCTCAACTCGAGCTTTCTTGGTAGGTGGCTCGACAGTGGAATCAACATCTTTCGAAGGCGCATTTGAGTTTGAGTCTGTTCCAGACGCTCTGGATCTTTTAAGATCACTGCTACTACCCATTTTCATTTTCACATATGACTTCTGCTACAATTGATACTGGTGAGATAACGACGGCGCAGATGAACGTAGCTTGGAGGAAATAAAAATTATAGTCTGGGAAGAAGAAAAAAGTCCGATAAGTAAAATTATCGATAAGGATAATAAATATTAGCGTAGTGGAAATGCACATTTAGAGAAGTACCTAAACGTACGCTAAATGAGTTTGGTATCTTTAAGCAGATAATTACGGAGCCTATTAATGTATTGAACCGTCAGACCGTGTAATACGGCGTGGGGTAGAAAACGGAAGGGCTTTGGCAGTTGTCCTAGCAGCCGTATCGGTTTATTGATTTACTTACCAAATATAGGAAAGTCGCGCCAACACAAAAAAACATTACCTTACCCTATATTATTCCATTCATTAAATGTTCATAGTGGGGGATGCCAATGATATTCGCGATACCTTTTGCGCGTCTACTTTTACACTTATTATTTTGCTTCAAGTGGCCCAATAGATTTGCTATATTCTCAATTCCTATAGACACTTCGTTATCAACCTCTTCCCAACTCGAAATCAAATTCACTGTATCCTTGGGCGCATATTTTTCACCGCCCACGGCATAGGTTCCGAAGGGTCAATACAAACATCTAAACTAATAAATATACGTAACGGAACTATCCTATTCATGCCAGCTCGAGCATCCGCTAGGTCCACGCGGACTGCTGGCGCCGTATCTAGCAAAGCGTCCCGACGAGTATCATCGTCAAGTATCGACCTTCCCGAAGAAACACCCGATAGCCAGTTGCGCACCCAAATATCTTCAATATTCCGCGACGCGCAGAAGACAACCGCTACTCATAGAAAATTAGTTATCAATATCCGTAAGATTCACGAGGCTTGCTGTTACGAACCCACGCACCCCGACAAGACTTCTACAACCGAATTCAGTGAAACCGACTTCAATACCGAGTTTACACGATGCGTCCTCAGAGTTATGCCCATCAAGAAGAGCGAAGGTGTTGGCGACAAAATCATCCGCTTTATTGGCCTATTCCTACGTCACGCGAATGACAAGGACAACGAACTACTAGGGGAGGAAGATGTCGATGCTAGCACCATGCCCGAGACTCCGAGTACTCGGCTCACTACTCAAGTTATGGAGATCATTTTGCCCTTACTTACCTCCAAGGACAAGTTCGTCAGATATAGATCAACTCAGATGATCTCTCACGTTATAAACTCCTTGGATGCCATCGATGACGACTTGTTCCAGAAGTTACGTCACGGCCTCCTTAAGAGGATTCGCGATAAGGAGGCTATGGTCCGCTCGCAAGCCGTCCTTGGCCTCGGTAGGTTGGCTGGAAATCAGGTTGAGGGTATGGTCAACTCGGATGACAGTGATGATGACGCCGAAACTGGTCTGCTTGAGAAGCTCCTCGAAGTTCTACAGAATGATCCCAGCGCTGAGGTGAGACGTTCGCTTCTCGTCAATCTACCTATTCTACCCAACACTCTCCCATACCTCTTGGAAAGGGCAAGAGACCAGGATCATGCTACTCGCCGCGCTGTCTACTCTAGATTGTTGCCTGCGCTCGGCGACTTTCGGCATCTCTCCCTCTCGATGCGTGAGAAGCTGCTTCGCTGGGGGTTACGGGATAGAGATGAGAATGTTCGAAAGGCTGCCGGAAGATTGTTCCGCGAACGCTGGATTGAGGATTGCGTGGGTAGCAATCAACCTGAAGATGGCGAACAACCAGCTCCAACAGCTCCTCCAACTATCGATGGACTTCTTGAGTTACTTGAGCGTATAGATGTCGGCCATTCTGGCGTCGAAAATGGCGTCGCACTCGAGGCCATGAAAGGCTTTTGGGAAGGAAGACCAGATTATCGAGAGGCTATGGAATTCGACGACAACTTCTGGGACACGCTCAGTGCTGAGTCCATCTTTATAGTACGAAGTTTTAACGACTTTTGCCGAACAGAAGGAAACGAAAAATATGAATTCCTAGTTGAGGAGAAACTGCCTGAAGTTACCAAGTTAGCCTACTACCTTACACGCTATTTAAACGTTCTCATTGAAGCTATAAAGAGAGTCAAAAACCAGAATAACGTAGAGGAGGATGAGGAAGAAGATACAGCTGAGCAGGAAGATACAGCTGAGCAGGAGTTCATTGTGGATCAATTGCTACATATCATCCTCACCCTCGACTACTCGGATGAAGTTGGCCGACGCAAGATGTTTGCCCTGCTACGGCAAACCCTATCTATACCGGAACTGCCCGATGAGACTACCAAGCTGACCATCGAGGTGCTCCGGGACATATGTGCACCTGATACAGCTGGTGAGAAGGAGTTCTGTAGTGTTGTACTCGAAGCTGTTGCGGATGTTCACGATACTATTGTTGACGAATCTATCGTTGGGGATGGCGAGGAGAGTTTCCACTCGGCCAGGTCCGAAGTTAGTGGCGACAGTACTCCTACCAAGAAAGGGAAGCATGGCGCAGACGCTACTCTAAACGACGAGGAAGTACGAAAGAAGTCTGTCAAGGAGATCATGATCAACTTGAAATGCTTGCACATTGTTCAATGCATGCTCTCAAATGTCGAAGGAACCTTGCAGCAAAACGACCACCTTGTGTCGATGCTTAACAATCTAGTTGTCCCTGCCGTTCGTAGTCGCGAAGCACCCGTTCGAGAACGTGGATTAGTCTGCTTGGGGCTCTGCTCACTCCTCGATCGACCACTGGCCGAAGAGAATCTAACTCTATTCATGCTTTTCTTCAACAAAGGCCACTCGGCACTTCAAATTACCGCGCTACAGATCTTGACAGATATTCTGAATGTCCATGGAGCGCAGCTTCTCACGGCAAACCCAACATTATTGAAAGTGTATATTCGGGCTCTCCGATCTGGCTCTAAAAATCCAGAGGTCCAAGGCGTAGCCACCCTCGCTGTCTCGAAGCTATTACTTGGGCGTGTAGTCACAGATCACGATACGTCAACAGAGCTTCTCAAGACACTAATAGTAGCTTATTTTGATCCTTCAACCGCAGGGAATCAGAGTGTCAGGCAAGCCCTCAACTATTTCCTGCCTGTATTTTCTTATTCGAGAGCCGAGAACCAGGAGCTTATGGGAGCTGTGGCTCTCGATGCGCTGCATGCTCTATACAACGTCAGGGAGGGTCTCGATGACGATGAAATTGATGTGGATGACGAAATGGCCAGCCTAAATACTATCGGTGCTTGTCTAGTTGACTGGACAGACCCTCGAAAGTGCTATGCCCCTGGTATTCCTATGGATGCCGACAAGAAGAACGTGAGCGGAGACATCCATCTGGACTTAGCAAGGGATATTCTCGACAAGTTGAATAGTAATTTGAGCAGTAAGTTTCCGTTACCGTGTGATGCCGCTATTAATACTAATAACAATATAGAGGAAGAGAAGAAGGTCATGGCATCTCTACTAGGAAAGCTATATATCTCACCAGCCTCTTCGGAGGATAAGATTCGTGCCTTGTACGAAGACATTTCGGCAGCAGTCGAAGAGAACCTCGTATCAGATGCTACGAGTAAGAATGCTCTCTACAAAATCCACGTGAGCTTAGGGAAGATCGTGAACCAACTTAACGAGCAAGACAAGATGTCGAGGCGAAGCGCTAGTAGGAGTGTGTCCCTTGCTCCTGATGAGAAGACCATCGCGGAAGATGCAACTGTCATCCGGGTGTCGAGAATTAAGGAGGAAGAAGAAGAAGTAGAAGAAGTAGAAGAAGAAGAAAAAGGTGAAATAGAAGAGGAAGAAGCTGATATCTCCGGCACGGCTGGTCGGAGTGAAGCTGATTCTCTCGTGGAAGACCTTTTGACGGACGGAGAGACATGATGGTTATGACTTGGATACGTCAGTGTTATGTCTTATATTAATGTGTAAACGAATAAATACCCTGTTTATATTAAAATACTATCACGTTACACGTTGTCTCAACCCTAGCGTTGCTGGTTAAACTCGTGGATTACCCATAGACCGAGTTACTAGATGGACCCAGGCACCATATTAAATTTCGTAACGTTCTCGATAAAAGCAGAGGGTTACTTGTTAGTTCACTAATAGGAAATGAATCCGCATAGAAGAATATATTTCTGCCTCAGAATTGGGTTTCCGACAACGAGTTTAAACATTGGCGAGGTAAGTTAGTAAGCATAAAATGGAAACCAATTCGATAGCAGCAAGGGATCGACGGTATCTAGGATGGGTTGTAAATCGCTAGCCTGTTCTCAAACCGATATAGTGAAGTCATTTCAATAGAAGGTCTCACATCCGGAATAGGCGGTCTAGGTAGTATAAGATACATCACCTTTTATCTAACTCACGAATGTCCTTTAGCTACACTACCTCAAGAGGTTATTCAAGATCAGTCCTATTAAGAGTACATTATTCCTCATGCTACGAAAGGTCTACTAGGTCAGCAAAGTATCATAACACACCAGCCGTAAGTTTTGGCACACAAATCTACAACAGCCATTGATTAGCAACCTAGTAGGTAACGCCTGTGGCCCTGCTATATATAATAACTATTCGTTGAGTTCGTGCCGCTCCAGTATATTCAACTACAGCGATGCCGTCAGATATCAGAGGCCCGAATGACCGATGCCCACCACCCAACGAGCCTTTACAGCCCCGCTTCCAACCCCCAGGCCGTTCACCATTATTGGATTTTATACATCCTCACGCACTACCAGGCCTGCCTTCGGGTATCATGAGTCTACCGGCCGCCCACCATTATGCGATGACTATCGCTTAGATTGAGAAGGAACGTGTTTCATGAGTAGAAGTTGGCAACCTGTTCGAGCAGAGCCAAATCGACACCCCGCCGGGACGAATTGGACGGTTCTGATGTTGTGATAGTGATATTTCCGATATCACACCAGTGGTTAACGGGCTATGGAAATGTCAGCAGGATTGTTGGATGAAAGAGGAATAAGGGGTAGACTAACCAGGCAGCTAAGATACTTGCACCAACTGCAGTTATTCTGGTTGGAGTAGAAGTTCCTGAGTAACACGATGAAAACAACGATAACAAGTATGAGAAATCCAGCGCGAACGAGCCACCACACCCACCAGAGGGGCTTCCGACCCTTGAAGAAGCCTACAGGGTTTCTATAGAACGAAGGGAAGGCGACGCTGGTGATACCACCGCCGCCTACGGTAGAATACGAAGGCCCTCCAAAGTGATCCTCGCCAATCTTACGGCGGAGAGCGTTTGGCGAATGGAGAACGCTGACACCCAGACATAACCCGACAATAAACCCGCCGATATGAGAGAAGTTGTCCAGACCGGGGAGCAAGCCGAGGGCGAAGGATATAAGGATCTCGATGATGATAAATATTAACTCCCTGCCAGGGTTACGCCTCTCACCCCACGAGTATAGCAGATCGAGCAAGGTCAGAGCAATAATTCCGAACAAAGATCCCGATGCTCCGGTAGATGAAATTCCCGGAGCAGCATAGTTGCCTCCCATAACAAAGCCAAAGATACCAGCACTCATATAAACGAGGAAAAATCGGGTGGATCCGATGGCCCTTTCGATCTCCTTTCCCATAGTAAGCTGCAGCAGTAGATTGAAACCGATGTGGATTATACCCGCATGCATAAAGATGGGGATTATGAAGCGGAACCACTGGTTAGGTGCCGGGTCCTGATTCAAACCGTTGACGGGGTCCCACTCGGGATTGGGAACTCCATCAAACCCGCAGAGCTCCGACAGAGAGCACTTATTCGAGTCGTCGCTAGGGTCATTCGAGGTAGTGTTGGGGCAAGGCCATCCAAACCCCGGTGGGCTATAATTTTGTACGCCATTCACGTTCTTCATACACGGGACGAACCTCGAACCCATGTTGATAAGAACCTGCTGCGAAGGACCTATCATGGGGTTAAAGGAAGGCTGAATCTGAATCGGGCTACCTGTGAGCTGAGCGGCCTTGACGAGCTCGGCAATGAACACGGCGATTTGAATGATAGAGAATAGATAAACCATGATGGGTATTCTCCTCTTCTCCGATCCAAGCATGCCTAATTCACCAAACCGGATGCGACCACGCTTGGGTAGGCCTCGACGACTACCCGCCTCTTGATCTGGGGCGTCGTAGACATGGTCAGTCGAATCGGCCGCATAACCTGGTGATTTGTTGCTCTGATTGCGCATGGGGATATCATCGGTTCCTACGGGTGACACATCACCCGGTCCGGAGCCATGATATCTTGTGTCGTAAGCGAAGGTCTGTTGGGTGTTGTTTAAGGAATCGGAGTTCTGGTGGGATTGTGAGTTAGTCGGGTAGACATGGTCATCAAAGACGCTCTCGAAGGGAGATACGGTAGAAGCACCCGGACGTTCTTGATTATGCGCATGCGAGGTATAAGAAGGCGGGGTTGTAGATGCCAAGGATGGCTCGTATTGATTATAATGTCGTGATGGATCGTTGTTGTTGTAGTAGTCGTTGGCCGCCATGGTCGCTCTTCTATGGGAGGGTTGGTTTGCAAAATAGAAAAGATGTGGCCAGCACTGATTAATTTTGCACTTTATTTATTAAATAAATTTTTTCTTGGTTTTTGTTTCCCAGTTCTAGACCCGTTTGAGACTCGAAAACACCAGGCTGCACCGGTAGACGAGTTAGAATAAGATGTCTCGAGGTGAGTCGACGTAAAATGGGATAGATGGCTCGGCGGTCGCTAGTCGCTCGAACGAGTGTGGGAGGAACAACAACCAATTAGCGTAATGAGCGTTGCTTAATATGGGTTTTCGCCTTGGTTGATTTGATGATGATGCCTCTCTGTTAAAAGAAAGAAAACGAAAAACAAGAATAAACGAAACGGGGAATGGAAAAAGGTGTTGCTTCTTTTTGGAGATTTGTTTGGCAAAGCCTTCGTATTTGTTTGAATTATTATGTAATGAGGCAGGACACACAGCCAGATCCAGCAGTTGTCGTCACGCAGCAGAATAAGCGCGATGAATTGTGTTGCATATGATGTACTAATACAAAATGTGGTAGGAAAGGAGTTGTGCATTATGCGGGGTTACTGAAAGATATTTGTATAGTACTTAGCCTTCTACAAAGATTGCGTGTCACTGGGTGCTTAGCATAGTGGCTACAGCCTACTAATAAGAGGCTGTGCTAAAATTCAGCGGACTACCTAAGGTACCCGTGGTACGTTATGTACATTCCAGGGACTCTTCTTGGGTTTCTTGACTGGGTTTATGCTTCTTTACTATTCTAATTATGGAATCTCCAATGCCACGCAGCTTACGTACGTACGCCTTCATCGATGATATATTCATCTGAATGGTTGAATGAATACAGCTGAATGATACTGTATGGGCTAACAGTCCCTGTCAAGCCACACATTTCATTGACATTCTCAACTCCCAAGATTCTAAGCCTTTACAAAACGTAGTAGCTAACGTATTCATATACACGTTTAGGCAATAATTGCGAAGCTCCAGGTTGTTAGGTAGTGTATGTATATCCACATTCGGTTCGAATCATTCTACGACGTCCCTAAATTAGCTTCATAGAATTCCATGTCGACTTACAGTAGAATTTAGAGAATACAAATCAAATAGCTCTGGACATGCTATTAGCTCTGTCATTGCTTAAAGTATATTACATACCATGTAATATTTCCTAGTAACTCCTATCTGCCAAGCCCGAGACTGGCTGGCAGATCCCTCACGAGTAAAGTGCTCAATAAAAACCCATACTGGAGCATAGTAACGTCTCCTGTTACCACTAATACCGATATCGTGTTGAATAGTCTTTTGGACTGACGACCAGACCGCGACCTTTCTTGGCGCCCTTATAGACCGTCTCGATGATATCAATTAGCTCTTGCTTGTCTTCGAGGACAAAGTTGAGCTTATTGTTATTTCCCGTGCCGTAATCGCATAGCATGTGCTTGTTTCGGTAGAAAAACATGATGGTGCAAGGGTCATATAATTCTATACGGGTTTAATTCATTAGGAGCTCGTCTTCAAAAAAAAAAAAAAATAGTTCAGAGAGACGGGGCAATACGCTTACCATACATCTGGTTAAAATCGGGTACTTGGTCGATGTCGCAGACATAGATGACGCAAAAGTTCTTTACTCTATCTGCGATGCGATATAGAACCTCGTCTTGTCGCATACATTCGGGGTCATGATCGCGGCCGAAACGAATGGCTATAGGAATCATGGATATTAGCTCTTTTCTCTATCAATCATAGTATTTCTCGAACGCTTGCTTCGCTTACCGACGACGCGCTCAGTTTCCGAGAGGATAGCTTGGTCGACATGCCAGCCAGTGTTCAAATGTGGTAGAACAATTGAACCCATGATTGGACTCTGGAAATATTGGTGATGTTGGTGATGTTGGTGATGATGATGATGATGATGATGAATAGTTGGTGTTTTTGTTTCTAGAATTTAACCTACGCGCTTTGACTTAGGTTACCTAGAGTGTTCAAGTTAGATAAAAGTCCCACGCAGCCGCGGCTTGATGTCATTAAGAAATTCTAGTAAGCACACTGGAAATCTTATGTGGTGGGGCAGTATGTGCATTGTAATCCGGGGGATTTACGGCTAAATCACATATTGAAGCAGTCCGTGTTATTTACACAGTATTAAACTTAATTAAATTCATTCAATGACCTAAAATAGGTACATAGGTACATTGATCACACACATACAGCTTGGAAAATAATTCATTCGGATTAGACTTCACAGATGAAGGTGTTATATTGATTATTTTTTTTCTGGAGCAAGATATCATACATGGATCGGATTGCAGATCAAAAAATATCCCATTAACGAGTCAGTTTCCCACCAGCTAATGCGACAAGCTCGGGGAAGATGGGTGTCCCGAGGCCAGTAACAGGATCCCATCCTTCAACTGCTGGGAAGCCGTCAACACCGCATCCGACAGCACTACCACTTACGATATCAGTCAACCCTTTGTATCCCTTCGAGTACAGCCACGGGTTCAAGAAGCCCAGTGGCCGTTTGCCCGACGAAATGAGCGCGTCATTTACCAACGAGATAATTCCACCCGTCAGAGGGCAGCTAGCGCTAGTACCGCTAATGGTTCCTTCGGTGCCGTTCCAGAAATATGCAAAGTAAAGTCCCTGTGCAGAGATATCCGGGTAACCACGGCCTTTCTTGTTATATAGACCATCGTACAGGCCTTTCAGGTTCTTAACGTAGTTGGTAGCCTGCTTCGCCTGGTATGCAGGTACGTCGAAGTAGTTGCTAAATCCACCGCCGCTGGTGTAGTTACCATGCGCAACGCCATCGGGACCAACAAACGCAGGGCGATACGCTACGACTTCGGGTTCAAAGTTCTTCGTAGCACCAACCGCCGTTACATAGGGACAGCTAGGTGGGAACTCAGGAAGAAACTTGGTGGTGTTCTTGCCGTCGTTGCTCACACATTTTCCATACGATCCGACACCACTGTCGCCGCTAGAAAACAATAGTGAAGTGCCACGAGCACCCACTTGAGCGAACTGCTGGCAGACACGTCGGGCGTACGACTCTGGAACAGTCTGCTCATCATCGGCATACGAGGTCGCTACATCAAGTTAGTAATCCATCCAAAAGGCCAGGTAAACTAGAAGATAACATACTATAAACATATTAGCGTCTATTAACAACAAAGGGGCGTACACAAAGGCAATTTTATACATACCTAATGACTTGCGGGAAAGACTTTTGATCAAGCAGGTAGTTCACCCATACGAGATAGGGTTCGTTCGTGTTGTCTGGAGTAGAAACCGACGGGATAAAAGGCGGGCTGCCCCCTGTCGAATAACTGATAATTGGAGCTACCACCAACCCATATTAGCGGAAGAGTCCTTTGCAGAATGGCTTCTCTAAATACGTACTCTTCCAGTTTATGCCGGCAATGGCCTGGAGGTCTAGGTTAGCCTCCTTAGAAGTGCCCGAATCTATTTCCTCTGGTGTCAAAGCATAGTCACCAGGCCCGTTTGCAATCGTGATTTGTGGGAAATCTTTTGCGCTTGAGACCGCCTCCGGCCGGTACTTGGCGAGGAAGAGTTCCCCATCCGACCGGATAGGATGCTCGCCAAGGAAGTTGTTGAACCCGATCTTGTTCTTACCGCAAGCGCGAGTTTTGTAGCCCTTGGTCGAGTAGAGAGTCTGGAAGCACTCAGGTGTGACGGAGCTAACATTGCAAACTGCGCTTATGTTCTCGTTGGTAGGTGGTGTATATTGGGGGTCAAGGTACACCGGCGCTTCGATATGGTCAAATTTCTCGGCGTGAGCACGGAAGAACGAATTAGTAGGCTGAATCGTATCGATCTTATCATGCAGATGAAGCGGAAGAGACCATTTAGGAGCCCGAGCGACCACACCCCCATCCTTATGCTCATAAACATGGTACTCTGTGTCAAGGAGACGCTCGATAGCCTTGACTGGCAAAGACACCGTGATCCAATCCTTAGCTGAGCTATATCCTGACGGGGTGACATCGTTATCCGCTAGCCACTCGTGGATGAGGTTAAGCGTCTCATCAGTAGGCTTGACCAGCTCCTTCACTTCATCGGCAGAAAGATGCTGACCATAGCGGGGGTGGTCCGGGTCAGAAACTAAAAAACGAAGGTCAAACTTGGGCTTTTCATCTCATCCAACTTAAAGAACATCACATATCATACCTTCGTAAAGATGCCTCTCGAGCTCCGGGAAATTGCTCTGCTTTACGCCAATTTGAAGGTCAATTACATGATCAGCAGGCGCGCGACGAACTCGCTTCCAATCCCTTGGAACATGGTGCGTATCCTTGACACGATACGGCGTTCGTGATCCCACGGGGCTCGCAAGGGAGACCTGGGCAGCGAGAATCGCCGAAAAAGCAAGACCAATGCCGACCATTGTGCACACTTCAACCTATCAACCTATTAAGGGACGGGGGCGAGTAGAACAAGCGAGAGTAGGGCCGGAACAGCAAAGACCGGATCCTAAGGACAACAAAATTCCCAGAGCGGCGCTCGTAACACTTTATATTGTTTACGATGACAGCACGCTATCTCGTACGCACATAATGCAAGCTGATAGAGAGCAAGGATAGATAGCCCAATGAACCACGGCCCTGGTCTAACCCGCATTCAAATATCCAATTGGATCCCCCGCTTACCACAAACCGGAAATTACATTAATTGCGTTGTGATATATTACGTAGGTGAGGTAGTATAGCTGATGCCGTCGGTCATTTCCTACTATGCTCCTAATAAGCAGTATTCACCTCTTTTTCAGAGTCACGCCATATCTCACCTTAACGCATCCGGAAGGTCGGCTACTTATCTGTACCCAGGTCCGTGGGTCTAGATCGTACCCCTGATCTAGTGAGATCCTGCCTTAGCTACTTAGCTACCAATACGAGGTATTGACGAAAGAACTCGTGGAGTAAACAATATAGGTAAACCAATTACGCGTGAAGATCATAGATAGACTACTCTTTTAAAGACCAAACGAACTACCTCCCTACCTCCCTACCTAGGTATCTATTCACGCGAGGGCTGTTAAGCCATTCCTTATTGGCTAATGCCCACATCATGAGAAGGTTAAAGCCCTTACATGATTGCTTATCTGATAGTTGATGAACGCCCTAGATTATCAGACCGTAGATATCTGCTTTTATTCTAATGTTTATCAAGTTAGAGTATTGACTAGATGATTTAGCGTACTCATAGAATACGATACCCGGCCACTCAACTAACTCGATAGTTCATGAAATTCTAGAAGAATTCCATAAGAAGTTCTTAGTATCAAACCATATTTCAAAGGAACATATCACTTTATAATAGGAAGGCCGAAACACACGACGTCTTCGTACAAATCACCCCCAGAGTCTCACCACCAACGTGGTAATATAAAAGGCAGACACCAGGGCCAACAGTCGTGGAAGATCATGAAATAGTCATGGGGAGAGGAAAATATACTCGCATTTTAAAGACAGTCGATATGAAGGCTTTGCCATTTCATAGGCTACTTGTGTAGCACACATATTTTTCTGACTATTCTAGTAAACAACAGTATTGGCTTAGTATCAAACCCTTATGCATCACGATGCAGCAGTCAGTTTGACCGTAAGCATTCCTCGTGATGGGACAGAAACCGTAACCGCACCGTCAACAAGTTTCGACTCGACCGAGGCCACAGATCGGGTGTTATCCGTGACGAAAGCTTCAGCAGCTGCGGGGGTAAAATCTTTGAACGAAACCTTGACACTCTGCTGCGAGCCGCCGGAGTTGAGGAAAACCACAACCACTGAACCATCCGTGTTCTTAAATGCCGTGATACCGGTGCTAGAAACACTGCCGGACGTGCTAATGCGGAATGCACCGGGGCGTACGAACCGCGACCACATCGCGAAGGCCCAGAGACGACCGGAGGGTGTGAGTGTTTTCCCGTCGCTCGCAACAAGGTAGGAAGACGCTTGGAACTGATTCACTTCCACACCTTGCCAGTAGATGTAAGCAGAGAGGTTAGCGTTCGCAAGACCATTATGAATCTTTTGCGCCCAAGTAAAGCCTTCACATTGGCCACCGCCACTATACCATGTTGCACACCAGCGAGATTGGAGGTCAGCTGCCTCGGTTTGCCATGTCTTTAGCTTGGTAGAAATAACCGAGTTCGGGTCACCCGTGTACATGTGGCTGGTAATATATCCAAGATATTTCTCCATGCCTGCTGAGACAAGACCTTGCGTGATAGTTCGCTGAGAGTTCCAGCCCACTGTATTGTACTGTTAGTAACTATCTGCCGAGGCCAAGAACAAAAGGTGTTTCTTGAAATATTCAGAAACTAGGTAGCATAGTTAGAGCAGTCACTTACTCGCGTCGCAACAAGTTATAGACACGTTGCTGAGGCCATTAGCCTCGAGTGTATCGTGTAATATGGGGATAAATGATGCAGCTTCGTTAGCACCGGATTGCATTGACGAGTAACTCGTTCTATAGAAGTCAATATAGCACAAACATCGACCTTCACTCAGCCTACACTTACACATAGTCGGGCTCGTTCAAAAAGCCAAGCTGCGTAACGGGAATACCGCGCTCGCTGTAGTACTTCACGTACTGGACCAAGAAGTCGGCATAGGGTTGACGCCAGTCCCCTGACGAGCATGAGTGGCCTGGCGTACCGCAAAGGTAACCGCCGTTGTTTTCATTGTTATTAGTCTAAGATGTAATTTAGCTTAATGGCCTTCGACAAAAAGATCTTCTCGGAGCTTAGAACAAGAATTACCTTCATGAACCCTGGCGCACTCCATGCATCTGCATAAATGGTTTTAACTCCATATTTCATAGCTTGCTGGCTGAACCAGAGTTGACCTCGGTCATCATCGTCGAAGCTATAGTTTGCAGCCGCGCTTGGGCCGCCTGGGCTTTTGGGGAGGATACTGTCGCTATTGGTCGTACCCGAGCCAATACGGTTGCGGATGATTGTAAAACCAGCACCAGTGGTTGTATTGAACAAGTAGTCGAGACCCTGCTTCTGAGGATCCCCAGATAACATGTCCCTAAACTCAGCTGCACGACCGAATGCCTGGGAAACACCAAAGCCATCTATTTGTTGCAACGTAGATGCAGCATTGACAGTCAAGGCCGACTGGGCATAGGTTTGCCCTATGCTAGCGACGAGCGCCGCTAGGGTGATGAGAGAAGCCATTATACTTAGAAGTCTTGATATAAAGACTTTTAAGTCCTATAGGAAATGGTCTTGCTTGAACACTATAGAAAATGCGTCCGACGGGGACTCATGATCGGGAGATCATCGTTATATAGCCGAGATAATTCTGTATAGTTACATTAGGTTCCATTGAGAAGATGCTTTTCGCAGAGACCAAACAATACCCATAGGATATTCAGCAAGCTGCCGAAGTAACTTAATCAACAAGCACGTCGTTCATTCGATCGCATCAGCGGGGGCGGAGCAGTGCCATGAAGACCGTCAATCTGCCCGTTGAAAATGCGTGGTATTAGTAGGTCAATATCGGAAAGGTACCATGCCAAGGTTGCCATTAATAGCTTATAACAGCCTTGGCACATTCTAGCCCTCTCGCTAGCTAGAAAGAAACTACGGAGATGCGTCCGTGGAGGTGGTGAAGGTGCTAAATGGTTACGGTGGGATTTAACCGGGAAAAGTTCTTCGCAGTAATAACTATCAGAACTAAGGTTCAGGGAATGATTACATTGATTATATGCTTGTATAATATTCTAATGTCTGCTAAGCGAGATCTTCTAATATTGTATATTATTGGTGGAATTTTACTTGACAGCTCTATCAACTGAAATACATTCAACTATATTAGTTAATATCTTTTGTCTCGCATCCCCTATATCTATTGACAGTTTCTCCAAGTTGACCAAGCGTGACCTTTCCTAGATATGAGCCTCACACTCTAGTTCCATACTTACATTTGTTGTCTTCTACTCGAATAGAACTTAGCTCGATTGTACCTCATGAATTCTCAATCTAAGAGAGCAAATACTTTTAGGTTATACAAGTTGAATAGTTAATACTATTTCGACTCTATTCTTATGTGTTAGCTACCCTAAGAAGTGCGCCTCCCTTTTTGAAGCGTTGGTATCAGTATCAGTTCCCCTGTTAGTAGTCTACGAATTATCTACCTTTCCTATTAGTTAAACAAGCAGCATAGATTTTAGTAAACCATCTGTGGGCAATTCTGAACTTTACGGACATTGAAAGCCCGTGGAAAATAGGCACGACATCGATATGGTTATTATCGTTAATTAACTAGACAATCCCCCAGTCCCCTGTCCCTGATCCCCGATCCCTTGACAGTCCCAACTATATACATATATAAGAAGGCATTCACCCTACAAGTCCCACTAGATGGTTAATGATATACAAAGTCTCCACCTGGTATAGCTACGCTACAATAGATCCCAACCTTGGCTTCTATCATTTAAGACTCGCCGTTGTTAGCTAGAAGGTTGGCAGTGTCGCTAGGAACACCAGAGATGGCATCAGAGAGAGCGCTCTTAGCAATGTAGTCGCAGAGAGAGCCGACGGGGGAAGCGTCGAGTCCCAAGTAGTAGGCACCGAGGCCAGCAATGTGGGGGGAAGCCATCGAGGTTCCAGAGATAACGTTCTAGGATATCGTCAGTACGAGCGAAATTACCAAACTTATACTTAGGGATTAGCTTACAGTGGCTCCACCAATCCAGGTGGACTCGATGTCAGTTCCAGGGGCAAGGATGTCAACAAGGCTGCCGAAGTTGGAGTACTCGGCAAGCTCGTCGTCCTTGGTAGTGGCACCGACGGTGCAGGCGGTTTTTTCCGAGGCGGGGGAAGAAGATGAAGCGTCAGTGGCCTCGTTACCAGCAGCAACGGCAAGGAAGAGACCGGCATCAACGATGCTGGCGGCCGCCTCGTTTACGGCACTGGAGGAGGAACCTCCGAGGGACATGTTGACGACGACACCCTTAGGGCAGGTCTGGCCAGCTGCGTCCTTGGCAACGAAGTCCATACCAGCGATTACACCGGAGCTGTGGTTTCTAGTCAGCCAACTGTAACTTTATATACTAAGACGGGTTGAGGATTATTGCATACTTAGTACCTGAACCACTGGCGTCAAGGACCTTGACGGCGAAGAGAGATGTCTTCTTAGCAACTCCATATGTTTTGGAACCGATCGTGCCGGCAACATGGGTACCGTGACCGTTCCCGTCGGTGTCATCGTCGTCAGCGAAGTTGTTGAGGAACTTGGCGCGGCCCTCGAATTCCTATATAGAGTTAAATTATAATTATCAATGAGAAAATAATCACTTATCACATACCTCGTGGTCGACTTCGATGCCAGTGTCGATGATATAGGCGCAGGTACCCTCACCGGCACTGTCGTCGTAGGTGTAGGTGGTGCTGCCAGGCTCGGAGCTTGAGAGACGTGCTAGACCCCAGTCGGCGTTCTCCTGGGTAGCCTTGATAGTGATAATGGCATCCTGCTCGATGTAGTCAACCTAGCAAAAAGTGTTAGAGTCTTCATAAATCCTAGAGTTTTATCTGTGTTGTCTTCATATTTACATCAGCATTGTTCTTGAGTGCCTCGAGCTCTTCCTCAGACAGGCTGGAAGCGAAGCCCTTGAACTTGTTGGTGTTGTAAACGAAGTCGGCGTCGCTGGCGACAGACTGGATAGAGCTCTGGATAGACTCGGCATTCGTGTCAGCCTTCATCTTGACGATGTACTTGCCATCGACAAGCTGGGCGCCTCGGGGCTTGATAACCGGCGCGGGTGAAGATCGCTTCGAAGGCGCAGCAAGTGCCAGAGGCAGCAAGGCTAGAGCAGTGGTAGTACGCATTTTGAAAGATATATAGGGGTGATGAGTTTAGAGTGGTGCTTGATAGTGAAGCTCTGAGTGTGGGATGGTGAGAGTAAAGATAGCCCATTGAATGGAGAATCTTCGTCCTTTTTATAATACTCATCGCAACCTTTTGACAAGAAGCGTGATGTTGTTGGATGTTGAATGCAATACTATGAGAGCCTTCATGATAGCAGATCTTTACCAAGGACAGCATTTCATAGTCGGACAAATTTGCCAGTGACCACTTACATGTGAACGCCTCATGTGAGGTAGAAAGAGAATCATGGATAAGGTAAGGATTCATAGTAGGCGACAGTATTCCCTGCCCTGGCCGGCCAATCCGGCATGCATAACGAGTGCCGATCACAGCAGCACCTCCTAGAAAGGGCTTGGTTGGGCTGAAGTCCCCTTATTCGTCGGAGAGTTTTCGTCCCTTCAATAAGAATATAGACGAGCTACGATCCAGTAGTGTTACTCCAAGCTCCGAATGTCGTTAAGTTACAGTGTTTTAAACCCAGGCATTCGGGTTTTCTTGGTGACGTGCCGTGAAATTAGCTATAGACTACTTGTAATACTAGAGTAGCCAATGACGATGAAATAGTACAGAAGGCCAAGCTTCTTGCCAAACAGCTAGTTACGCGCGCATACACTACATACACTACATACGGTACCTAGACTATTGCCAAGAAGCGCTGAGCCGCGAGTAAAGCACCATGGATTGAGCTTAACTTAGGTGCAGTGGTAGCTTGCTCAGGAGACGTTGTAACGGCCTTCCCTATCAGGAAACCTTTCCCTCCTTTAGACCCGCGGGGGGCCATCAGCATCGCTGTCCAACCAAGCTTTGACGATAGGGGTAAGTGACTGATCGATTATCTCCGAGATGCAGGATAGCTACCTATAATACATGATATTAATAGTTTTAGCTATATTTTAAAATGGCATATCTGTTTCATTCGAAGTAGCTTTAAAATATTGAACGTAATAAAAGAAGGCATATATAGTCCCATCTTAAAGACCAATTTTATCTTCGTCTTTTTATTCCGGCGAAGAAATTATAAGTTAGGTACCTCTTCTACCACAAATAATACTATGAGTTGGCATAATGCCAGTATGATATATGATAAATAATATATAATATGTAATATGTAATATGCCTAACAACGCTTTATTCACCACACCCACAACAGCTACTATTGTGGGTTGGTTCAACTTGGAGTACATAGCAATGCCGTCAGACGGAAATATGCCCCAGATTGCGACACCGGTTTCCCCACATGATATGAGTAGAAAGCGGAATGTGACTGTACCATCACTTTCCCCGAGAAAATCCCAGGTGCATCTACCGCAAGCTATGTACTCGTATCGGTGCTACTTGCGGCGTATTGTCAGGTGTCTGTAACCATGCAGCCTCGGGAAGGTCCTCGTATTATAGTTAGGTTCAAATTTCAAAGACCTTCTCAAAGACTTTACTCACGAGAGAAGTTCAGTTTTATCATGATGCCCCCACATCTTCAGCTTCTTAACCCCTCAGCCCCTCCACTAACCCTGCCCCTAACCGCCATACAACTATCACGACAGGCACGCTTAGCATCCCCCCTGGCCATGATCTGCAAATAACCCCCTGTATTTCAGATACCAGGTGCCGGCAGCGGTCAGCACACCCACTATATAAGGTCTTGGCATTTCCGCTGCGCAACCTGTTACCTACGACTCCCACGACTCCCACGACCAGCTCTTCTACATACGTTGCTATTTAATATATAATCTATGGCCTGTGTGATTGTCGATCAACTTCCAGCCTAGGCAGACAGCCTAAGGTAACCGAGACTCGGTGCTGGGCCTCAAAGTTGAACTGACTAGACTGGCTTATTATTGTTTTTCCTTGTCCAGGCCAACTTGCAAATCCCAACTGTATGCGGAAAGTAGGCAGGATTCTAAAAGTTCACCTACTCACTACGGCAGGCCGAATCTCTAAACGCACGGCATTATTCCGGAGCCTGTCTGTTTATGTTTTCTCCGGTTAGCGAAAAAGAATCTGTTTTAAATCCGACGCAGTCCTAACGAATTCATCTACCGAGCATCGAACGCCTCACGAGTACATATTAAAAAGAACTTACAAATGTCACTAGTTATATCATTATTGAATTATAAATCAGTGGCGTGACCGAATAACCTACCGTCTCTCTAATTTAATAGAAAATAAGAACGGAAATCCCTTTTTACCGAGTCTGATGGTATTCATGACGGTATTCCGTACGGCATTCCCTACGGAATACCCAATGCGGCCCGCAACCGGCCGGGTTTCGTAACCCGAGAAGGCAGGACACATTATCAACATTGAAACCCGATCCACAGTCACCATTGCACGAGGAATTAAGCAATGCTGCATATTCGAAGGGGAAAGGATTCATACACCTAGGTGTACCCAGGTTTGAATTCCCTCCCGCTGCCGTGAAACGTCACAACAGCTTCGAGTTTAGATCCGAACCCGCCTCCCGCGCTTCCCCTATTTATCATGCAGTAGTGTTTTCGCAGCAACAAACATATCAAGTCACGTTACAAGTAACCCCTGCGGCTATTATATTATAAAAATTATATTACGTTACACCACTTGTACAATATATAATTGAAATTCCCCCCATCAGTCCACTCCCACATCTAATAGATGTTGTGAGATTAGGTTGAAGTCTCAGCTATACACCCTATATAAATCAACTCCCCCTCGTGAAGATACCGCTTAGATGAGCCAGATTAATGAGGTCCTTGGTCAAGACGATATATTTTAACTGAAATCATATCAAGTCCCTGGTAGAGGTATTTATACAGCATACCTATGCCACATGTTGTTTTGCTTCGACAAACCATCGACCACATGCGAGAGCGAAAACAAATCGAAAGAGGGTCAAATGGAGTCGTCTGGCAAACATTATCACGCTCAAACATACTCTAATCTATATATTCCGTTTCTCTGCAACTAATTTATCCAGTGGGCAGTTTACTCGACACTACCCTGTGAGGTCCATGCGCATACCGAAGAAATCCACGTCCGGATTCTTAGCATGTCGTGATATTAAAGTTCCCTCTGCTTAATCCCCGGTCGCAACCATTGCTAGAGCTCATGGCAGACGTACATGATTTTCAACGCCTTGTTTCAGGACTTGGTTTTGTGATGAGTATCAGTGACTTAGAATTACCTGGTGTTCATTTATACGGCAGAATTCATATTTATCTTCATGGATCCGTTGAGTCGGTACACTGAGGCTACTCTATATTTGCACTCCTGTTTAGACCCCTTTTTTTAAGAAGAAAGGGGGGAACCCTCTGAAAATAGCATCACTTTGAAGGGGAACAACTTTATTTAAAGACGATATCCTAAAAATTCACTAGAGCGTAGCACTGAAAAGCCATTTTGTTATCACAGCATACCTGCTTTTCGGCGTATGAACCAGTCAATATCGTATTGAAACTATTAAAGAAATCCTAACCAAATTCTGTAAGATAAATACATCAGCGCGCCACATATATACTCAGTAACGAGACAGCAATTCTGAGAACCACCTAAACACCATCCAATTATCCAGTGCTTACAGTCCTCCCATAAAGGATGTGCCTCCAGCGTCCATATCTACTGCCATACTATGCTGTAGCCCGCAGACCTCGAAAAGCTTCACAGGCGTGATGTGTTTCGGCGTGCCGACCACGCCCTCGCCCTTTAGACGGAGAAGGGTCTCTCGGATGGCGACGTATGCGGGTGCCAGTGTCGCAAAGCTGAAGATCATGATGCGGAAGCCCATCTTGTGAGCCTCCTCGACGGTGATAACGGGGCTCTTTCCGTTCTCAACTGAGTTCAGTAGGAGTGGCCATGGTGCTAGGTCTCTGACAGCCTGGGCTGCTTGCTCCTTGGATGTAAAGCCCTCGAGCAGACCAACATCTGCGCCTTCGTCTCGGGCTGCGCGTAGTCGTGAAATACACGCGTCATACCCGAGCGATTGAAGGGCATCAGTCCGCGCAATGAGCACGAAGTCAGATTGCAATCGCACGCGTGCCGCATGGGCGGCCCTGATGCGTGAGATGTATTCTTCTTGCGGCACGACTTTCTTGCCACTCAGATGACCGCAACGCTTGGTGAGGACCTAATTCGCGAATAGGGGTTAGCATTTCGCAATAATAGGATACACGAGGCTTATATAATCCTATGCAAGTCAAGTAGCAGTGCTGGAGGCAAGAGACTAATCTCAGACCTGGGGAGATATGAGTAGGCGGCTATAGAACATACTTGATCTTCAAGATGGGCACCAGCTACTCCGGCACGGATATACTGCTCCACGGTACGAGCAACCATGATAGGTCCTAGTGTCCAAGTCAGATTCCATGTCTTGAGTAAGTTATAGGTTTTGAAGGCCGACAGAATATGAACAATCTAAACATAAAGATTCCCAAAAGACTTACCGCCATATCCAGTGTCCATATCAGCAATCAATGGCGGACCAAATGGATCAAGGTTGGCGATCATCTCGGCGTTCTCTCTCATTTCGTGTAGCTGAGCAATGGCCAAGTCTGGCTGACCGATGCGTGACGCCGTAGTACCTGCACCAGTCTTCCGATGAACTATTAGCTTTGAATAGACCGACGACGTTATGCCAAGTCTATATCACGTACCATATACATGGCATTAAAGCCTAGTTCCATAGCGGTACGAGCAGAGAGACCATCGTATACCCCAGGGCAGACGATAAGCTCTCCAGTCTCGAATATCATCTTGCGGAGCTTCTTAGCACCAGATGTCGGTTCGCGGACACTAGTGACAATGTCACTAAGCCGTAGCGGTCCGTCGACCTTGTCTACAGTATCATCTTCAGATGATGCCACGACAGTAACCTCTTCAACACTAGGAACTGTGATGGGATCATCCTCGAAGATTTCGACTGTGTGGACTAAGGGAAGTGGCTTGATGGAGTCATAGAACTGGCTAGAACTGATCTCCGTTGCCGCTTGAAGAGTTATAGTCGACTCGTTTTCGAGCCCAGACGTATAGTCTGCGGATGTGATTGCGGAGGGAGACATGGTTTAGGTGGGTATATATGGGCTTCGACAATAAAATGGTAGCACTGAACTGCAAGTTGTCGATCTATTGTATAACTTAAGAGGTGATGAATATGAAACCTGGATGAGTTGGCCAACCGATCCCAGGCATGATATTTATACTTTTATCACACCTTACTCTCCCCTCTATCAGCCCAAGAATCTCGCCCTTTCAGAATATCAAACTATCATTTCCATCTGCCTGCACACCAAGTTTCCGCCCTCGATATACCGAGGCCTAGAGCTCCTTTGTCGCAGTAAGCACTGGCCGAGATACACCACTTTACTTGGCGCATATGTGACTTTCATCCCTTTCCCCTGTCGAAAGATCCCCGGCACCATGTCGTTTAGCTTCCTCGGAGTTAATTTACGGAGTCTCAAGTTGTGCTCAGCTCCTCAACTGCACTTTACGTTACCTCATCGTACCTCCCGGATGTTGGTTTGGGCCGCCGGTGACAGGGTCTCGAGGCATCCTTGTAACCACACATGAAAACATAGATATCTTGTTTACTCTCAAACCGACCTAGTGACCATAGGTGCAAAAGCTCTTTAATATCAATGTAATATATTATTATGATAATTCGTAGACTTTCTGAATGATTATCACGTCAACCCTCTCGAATCCAGACCCAGTGATAGCTATTCTAATGAAATGAATGAAAACCTAGGCATTCCACACCTACCGGAACAGGCCAATCAATACTGCAGGACTACCATTAAGTGGCTATAGTTCTCCAAGATGGTCATCTGCGGTCGGTAGACCATCACCGGGACTTTTTGGGATAATACGTCACTAGGGTTGGGTGAACGAAACCCTGTACTCTCTCGAGTACCCAAGGCACCTGAGGTCTCTGAGGCCTCCTGCTCTGGTAGAAGCATACTAAACCAGTATACCATGGCGCCATGGCAATCCCCTTGTTACTACTATACAGGTCACCAACTTACACACTCTTCGTGACAGCTGGAATATTCAGGAAGCGTCACATCCGGACCTAGACGAGAAGACTATTATCGTCTCTAAAAACAGTTTCCCTAAATAGGGTTTATTCAGCTTCAGAAATTCTCGACGAAGCATTTTTATAATAGGCAATTCAATCTAGTTACACCTACCAATATTTGTTCGATATCGATGATAGGATATAAGAAAGGGTCGCACACTTTTACAGCTTCATCAAAACACTACTAACATTGGTCAGGCCTCATAATATTTCAGCCTGGCTTAACAGATAGCGCCACCGGCCTTATTTACCTTTCAGTAAGAATTGTTGATTTTTCCAGCTGTTGTCTTACGCTTACATCAACAGAGGTGTAGCGAGTATCATAGGTGTGGCTCGACCTCTACGCCAACGCCAGCCAGTAAGACAACAACGCCACCTTGATGGCCTAGGCTTTGTGGCTGTCGCCTTCAATGGATTCGTTAATATACGCACCTCTAAGTTTCAGGTCAGCTATTTTTTCTTCTTTTTCTTTTTTCTTTTTCCCCTGAAAAAAGCAATAGTAGCTGAGTTTATAATTGCTCAAATCTGACCCGAGTTAGAATTAAGTAGTCTTAGTCATTTCCATGTGGAACAGTTTCTTAATTCTAGGCACTTATACAAGTTTGGTACTCAGGCGAGACGGGTTCGCAGCGGGCCGAGCCGGGAAAAGGTAACGTCAGCCGCCAAGTTGTACTGAATGTACTGGATAACGACTTATCCAACACCCTGTATGCATACGACCCATACTCCTATCTTCCTACGATGATCCACCCCGACGTCAACATTTCCGCCGTCCGCTGACCAGTTTATTGCTGCTTCCCCGGTGATTAGTTCTTGGAACCCAAGACTTGCCAAGCTATGTATCTTCTTCAGCGAGTGGCATCCGTTACCAATCAAGGCATTGACTCTGGTTATGTCTTCAGGTAGGACAGACCAATAATGATCAACTATGACTTCCACTTGCGCTTCTTCTTCTTCTTCTTCTTCTTCCTTGTTGACCTATGTAAAGGCTTGTGATCTTACACCCACCTCGATCGGTATTATCCGCACTAGATCTCTAGCTGCCGCCCCTATTCCTGTTGCCGTGTCTAAAGAAAGCTTAGTGAAAATGCCCAGAAAACCTACTATCCATCCCGAAAACTTGCTCGGGCCAAGTGACTATTTTAGTGATTATTACAGTCCTTGGGTCACGTCTTAATGCAACCACCGTGGCTATGCTAGTCATGATAGCTGGGTATATAGGAAATATGTTGTCATGATACTTTAAAGGAAGCTCGTTTCGCGCGTATGTTGCTGCCTGCATATTACCTTTAGACGCGAGGAATATTACCAGCCGACTTGGCCTCCTTGGCAAGCTAGATGTTTCTGTATACTGCTAGATCGGGAGTCTTAGGGTTGGCATAGCGGGATTTCACGACAAGCCGCCATGAGCTGATCAGCGTTGGCACATAGATGTAATATGCTGTGAAATCGTATAGAGGCGCTCGTATCTACGTACATCTCGATCAGTCTCACGATGCTTCCGTGCGAGCTTCGAATAGCTCGTTGCTGAAGTAGTCCTAGCATCTAACACCTTGGCGCCAAGTTCAACGTACCCGGGTTCAGAGTCCGAGCGAAGGAGCCTTTAGTAAACTCGACGTATCACATTTACCATCGGTCCGTCTGTGCAGCATCTTAGATAGACCTTAAGCCGTGAGATGAGGTCTCCTCGAGGGGTTAGGAGTTAGCGATTAAACTTTGAATGTCTAATACATCAGCAGAAAGAAATTTATGGGGCAACTCGTTACTCTATAATTCAAATCGTCCTTTTTTTTACCTTAGTAAATAATAATAATAACCAGTTAGACAGTTATATTGCACTGAATTTCCTTTCTACCTACATAGTTCTACCAATCGACAGCGAAGTCGATATAAGATGTCTATAGGACTTGAAATCGAGATTCCCATTGGACAGGCGCTAATAGCCGTATAGAAATGAATTTAACAGGATTGAGCTACGGCTGCCAAGCACAGGCCACAGAAAGAGGCCCCGGGAGGAGCCCCATGGTCGGATCGCAGACTTAGAGTTCTCGGCGCTGGTCTGACACATTACATTGGCTACACCGGCGTGCCTAGAATACCACGTCAGATGGCGTCGAGGGAATACGACGATGGCGGAATTCTGTCCAGCTGAGACCGGACACCCTCCGGACCATCCTTACAATACAATTTGCATACAATTATCATTCAAGACAGAAGTGGATACTTTCTAGTTAACAGCCAAGTTCATCGGCCCATCTGGAGCAGCACCAGTTCAGTAATTTTCCGTCTCCCCGTTTACCGTCGTATTAACATTGATTAGAATAATTCCTCCGTGTCTTACATGATAACAAAAGGTTATCGAAGGACTGCATAGGAGTTGAGGGATTTTGAGTACTTGAAGCTATTCTACATGCGTGTTGGTGGATAGCCAAGCAGTACTAAAGAAGGAGACACCCTGTTGACGCAAGGACTAGCGGGCAGATAACTCATTCCAGATCTACTAATCTACCCGGTCCAGACTATCTCTAACTTAGCCTAGGCGCTCTCATCTTAATCTCCCCCGGATCCTTATATCGCCAACTGCCAGGCACAGTTTCCATATGCGATCACCGGATCTCTATACTCACTGCACTGCCACACCAAGATCATCATGTCCGACGAAGAGAAATTCGAATCCGCCCCAACCCTTAGCCCTGAGCCACTGGCACGACGAAGTTTCGTCCAGGGTTTCTCGCAGCAACTCTCTGAAGATATCAGTGCAAGCGTAGGGTCCATACCTCTAATAGCATGTTGCTTCGCAACGGGCCTCACTGATGGTACTCTGTATAATGGTGAGACACAGCGGACCTATTTCGAGTTATGCTGGCACGTTGAGATCCCAAAGCTAATATTGTATCATCTCTAGCTTATGGTACCTTCGTATCAATGCAAACTGGTATGTCTATGGCATTTTCTGGCGTCTAGTCCTTGCTAGTATATTTTATTCTAAACTTTTCATTAGGGAATACTGTATTCGTCGCACTCGGCACCTCCGGACAGAACAACAAGCCTTTTGGATGGGCTCGTTCTCTTTTCTCCATAGGCTGTTTCACTTTAGGATGCCTGTTCTTTTCCCGGTATCATAAACTAATTGGTGGCGGGCGTCGTCGAAGGACTCTCTTCTTCTCATTCCTGCTACAGACAGTTTTCGTTGTCGTAGCTGCAACTATCATTCAGACCGGCATCGTCGACGGTACATACCCCTCACGAAGAGACCCAATGGATGTGGACTTCCTCGAGCTTGCCCCCATTGCATTGCTTAGTTTCCAGGCGGCAGGTCAAATTGTGAACAGCCGTGGGTTGGGGGTCAGCGAAGTTCCTACGGTGGTGATTACAAGTCTGTTATGCGATTTGGTGAGCGACGAGAATATTTTACAGCCGCTTAGGAAGAATGTGAAGCGTAATAGAAGGGCTATAGCTTTTGTACTCACGCTACTAGGCGCGATATGTGGAGGTTGGATATCTAAAGCTACAGGTGCTGTACAGCCAAGTCTTTGGTTTGTCGCAGCCATTAAGGCAGCCATTACGATCTCCTGGTTATTTTTAGTAGGGGATAACAAGGATTAAATGAGCCCTATACCATCCATCCATAGATTAGATTTGATATGTTGGCTTTTTCCACTAGCTGACAATATAGATTGAGGTAGATATTGGTTTGAAGATGTGTAGAATAGACTAGATAAGTGTATTAGATGAAGAATATAAACTCTCGTTAACCCTAACACCCCAAAAATAGCAGTGGCTTAAGCAGTGGCGTTGCGCAAGGTCTTTATCTAATCTATGATGCATTGACGCTAGTATAGCTAGTATATAGGATAGGATAAGCGAAATTTTAGTTATAGTTCAAAGGACGCTAAGGGCACTTTGGCGGAGTGGTTAACGCGATGCCCTGCTATTGACTTGATAGACTAGGCATTCCCTTCGGGGGCGTGTGTTCGAATCACACAGGTGTCGAATTTTTGTCCTTTTTTTTTTTTTTCTCTCTCTCTTTCTTAACGCCTTCTTATGCATAAGAATAAATTCAAATTGTTTCATTTTTTTTTTACTCAACACAAGATACTAACTATGTAAAATTGAATAAAATCAATTACTGTAATGGCTATAGGTTCTTGCGATTAGTCACGGTGCATTTGCCAAGGTATTACCAATCTTTGAATACGAAGTACTTCCCCGGCGCCGAAGGCACAAGGTTCTTAACTACCAAACTCGCCTTCCTCTGAAACCCACAAACAATATCAGACCCTCCAAATAAAATAAAATAAAGTCGTAATCTCGTCCCCATTCTTTAATTGTTGGTTTTTGCGAACAATAACTTAACCGCTGAAACAACAGCCATCCTGATAGATAGCACTACAACCTTTCCTAAGACGACCTTCTTAATAATAATTAAGCCTCAGGGCTGTATAAACTCTACAGTTGTAGAGTTGGCATTTATTATAAAGCATAGGAACTGACGAGACTTTGAGCTGAATATAGGGGCCCCCATCAAATTTGGTTGCTGACTCGCTACCATGTAGCGGCGAGCCGATAGGCCATGGGAGGTTTTTGATAAGTACGGTTCCCGTAGACGAAATAGAAACCACATGGTCGGCTACTGACGAATCATACTTGCAGTCGGCAGGGTAAACAATTACTTTATCGTCGAGCGGGTTTTCAATAGGCCTCACATCTGCCTCCAGTTTCGAGTCTGGAGCTCCTTGAGACGGGACTGGTTGAAAACAAAATGAAACTTGTAGATATTGTTATAGACATCTTGTCCTTCGCTGCCCTCACGAAGAATCCGTGTGAGTAGGTCGTTAGCAAACTTGAGAAATTAATCAACGCCTATCATATTAAAGTTATACATAAACCCGAGTGCCTTCTGGCTGGCGGACTCGATGGCTTGGTCAAGTGCATATAGCTTATTCGTCTTCTCAAGGTGGCCAATGAACAGAATGATTATGGGGTCGAATTGATTAGACGTGTTGCACACGGGCAAGATGGATGGTCTAAAACTGGAGCCATCATGGCGCGTTGAGAGGGTAGCTAACATATTGGCTCGGGTATAACATAAGGAAATGAAGGCTTCAATATCTAGGTGAGGTTGAACAGGATGTCTAGTAACTTATATACAACCTTACGATCGCTTAGTAAACTCAAGAACTTATGGGCGAAGTCCACAATCGAGAAAACGTATAGGAAGTGAATCGAGGAGTATTAGACTTTGCCTCCTTACTGATTTGCCGAGACAATCTTGTAGGATTAATTATATTTTTGCATGGGGAACACACATATGGTACTCCCGCTCATGAGACACGAGATAGTACAACACAGCCACCTATTAGTCGCATGCTTCCAGACCTAGCCCAAACAACTCTGTTATATAATCAACTAAGCTACTATATAAAGCAATCTCTTTTATAAAAAGATCTATTTCAATAATTAAACATCAACCAAGCCAAATACTACGAAACAATATACCAATTCCATAGCCAGCGCGTAGTCATGTTTTTGTTACCGTTTCTAGAAGACATAAATTGATCTAATGATTTTCGTAAAGCTGTACATATGGATCGCCGCAGATAGTACATGCTACCACGCCTATCTAAGATATATTGTCGCCCGTGTACAGCGATTTCCAGCTAAACACTCGGTTTAATTACCTGTCTCCCAGTAAAATGGCTACGATCCGAAACGTTTGGCGATATGTCCTTAATCATACTTATCGGAGTTTTAGGCGGTTACTATACTATATTAAAGTTTCTCTCCGAATCACATTGTCCTAGGTGGAAAAGGACGTCAGGGGCTTCGGTCAAACCCCGATAGTAATGAATTAGTGCTATTCCTACATAACTCTACTAGCTGATCCCCCTATGTTGCGTCGCGGTCCACTGGTGGTAGTAATCCCTCATTATCTTAAGGCACCTCAGACTACTTGACATAACCCTGAATCTCTTCCACGCTTTGGAATACGGCTTCTTATACCCAGATACTACCACATTAACTCGATTATTGTTAGATTAAGGATGTAACTAATTTATATACTAGCACATCAGACGAACTTCTCAACGTCCCTGAAAACCCGAAGCGAAATGGCAACCCGGCCTGATCCAGCTTCCCAGAGGTTCTGACGGCATTTACAAGTAAGCGAAAGGTCAACGGACTATATTTAAGAATAATCAAGATCCATGGCATGCTAATTACCCATCTTCTTTACTTAGTGATTATATAAGTTTGCTTACTATCATTGATATGATTCAATCACTAATGGGTATCTAGCGGGAATCAACCAAGTCTGTGGGAAACCATCCGTAGAATTGATGAGCACAGTAGAGTCTACGAGGTATCAATTAGTAAATCTCTTCCGAAAATGATATGAAAACAGACGAAAATATACGACAAGGACACTGAGGCATGAAACAAGTTGATCTTTGTTAAAGACACGAGGGTGGGACCGGGAAGCAACCAAGGTACTGACAAGACCCAAACTGTAATAGACGAAGATATTCGGAAGCACTTGTTCAACCACTACGAAATACTGCTTAGTACATCACAACGCATCCAATATTTGGTATCACAAGGGGCTCGCTCGAGGTTAACAAGGATACGAGTAATCAGCGGGGGATAATGTTAAGATGGAGTGAAATTTCTTCATCCGCCGATGCAACACTTTCTTATCATAAATGATCTATAATCATTTTTTAATTTAAATTTATTATTATCCTAAGGCTTGATCCTCTGTGCTGTCTCTTATTTTGCTGGTCTTGCTACGACATGAAGAGCTTTATAACATGGAGAAAATGCTCTTCACAAGGAATAAACCATTCCATTACATACTGCGTATACCCAAAAACTATCGCAAGGCTCAGTTTCGTTCCCTGTTCAACGAGAAAACTACGTATCAGCATGAACCGTTCTTATTACTGTCAGCTGGGAATCTGGAGTCGGTTCAAAATATCACGAATCTAAGGAACTTACCGGGGCTTTAATATCAGGGGTAGATATATTCACGAAGGTGTAGAGACTGGAAAAAAAAGCCATGAGTATTACCCATTCAAAGAGGACGTTTAAAGGCATATTCATGCCCACGGATCCCAAGTATTTATTGTCGATTTCGTCAGTCGACTATAACAGTTAATACCAAACCGTCAAGTATATCACGCACAGTATAACGCAAAGGTTTGTACGGAATAATCATTTAGGGCGATGGAATTCATCGCAAGTAAATAACTCTAAAAAGTCATATATTCTCAGTATAGCAATAAGACCACTTCTTTCGCCATCGTACCTTGCTGGAATGTTGCTGTGCCTATATTCGAGAATACTTAACCGACGTTCGCCCAGTCCAAAAATACATAGAATAAAGAGCAGGTCAACATCGTGCTTTTCTACATCAACCCCCCTTTCGTAACTAAATTAACTATATCCCCAGTCATCACATCGTATATTCAAGTAACGAGTTGATAAAATAAGCTGAGCCATCCCATCTTTATAGAACACAATTCCCTCATATATAGCATTAACTTTTATTGGGCTAGGGATAGTTTTTTCCGCACGGACTCCTCCCCCCCTTGGGTAAACTTGGGGTTTTGTGTAACCATTTTACGGACGACTCTTCTAGGCAGCATACACTTTTAAAAGACCTGCTGCTTGCAAAGTTACAAAGAGCAAAATTCATTAACCTATCACCACCCATATTATAGCATCTACCTAAGTCTTTTTATCGTCATTCTTGAACCCAATCGGTTAGGATGAAACCTGTAAAAATAGCCGACTTCTCCCAAGGAGATATCACAGAGGACAGCCTTCTCCTTCTCAAAACCGGCATGTTAGGTCTCTAATACGCGACACAGGTCCTTACCAGTAATACCACTGGTATTAGTCTTCGGAGCAAAGGCGGAATAATCCTACTCAACGAGATATGGGCAATGATTTTAGACTTCACACGTGAGGGCATGGAAGGGGAAAAAGATAAGATGTGTTTGGTAAAAGCCGATCTTGTAGTGGCATCGCCCAATACTATGCTTCCTCGTTGCTTTCTACACAAGTTCAACCATCCCGCAGATGAGATGATCATGAGCGTCATCATTGATAGCGAAGACGTGGAGGACTTTGAGTGTTATCTAGCTTGTGCAACCCCGTCTACAGCCGAAGCACTCGGATCTAAATTACCTGAGTTACAACGGCTCTCCGGATCAGACAATACTTTCGATGTCGTCCTTAATACCACGTCAACAAATATCTGTCTCTATACCTTCTACAACGCCGACGATTTCATTGAAATAATCGATGGCGGCGACTGTTAGGTTTGCAATGGGGAGAGATTCTGGCATATACTGATTTTTATTTGATTAATAAGAAGTTGTTTATTTTTATCTCAGGTAACTTTAGACTAGAAATTTGAAAATCGTTTAAAAGGAAGTACCTTTTTTAGCCACATTCCTCCCCAACCAATTACAACCCAATGCACTTTTTTCAAAACATTTTTTAATTTTTAATTTAAAACAACCTTAAATATTTTTTTTAATTAATATTAATAATAATTAAATTAATTAAAAACATTAATTTTAATGTATTTTTATAATAAT